TATGCGTAAAATGTTGCTTTCATTTCAAATTAAAAATAATCTCTAGTATAAGTTTCTATAATCAAATTTCAGAGTTAATTAATCTCTAAAAGAGAACTGTTTGTAAATAAAATTGGCTTCACAAATATATCAGAAATTGACAGAGGAATATGTAAATTTAATCGGTTGGAACATTTAAAGCATAGACAGACAGATACAACGCAGAACTTCGTAGGTAAGTAGATCATATCAGGTTGCCAAACCACATCAGCACAGAGACGCACCTGTCAGTTAAAATCCAGGCGTGATAGCGATAATAGGAGTATTAGCAGTAATGGAGAAGATTGGGGAGCGAAGGTGTGATTCGAGAAGTATAATTCAGTAAGATAAATTTAGAAGGAGAAATATAGAGATGATGAGGAATTCAGAAGGTTAGAATTAGAGAGAACAGTAAGAGTGGATGCATCTGGGCCATTACAAACAGTTTTGAGCCTTGTCGCTCAAGGTCTCTAACCATCGGTAACTTTCGTCTCGCGGACCCCAACCAGGTAGTCTACATCTACCAACATGACTCAGTCCACCTGTCAGCGACTTGATGGATTTGTGCCATGTTTTGGTTTGGCCGCCCCTAGGTTTCTTCCAACCTACTCCTACACTGCAAAACATAGCTCGTTGAGGCAGTCGGTGGTTAGGCATAGGTAACACATATCCCAACCACCTCAACTGATGAAGTTTCACTACTTCATCTATTGATTTGTCATCCCTACCTAGAACTCGTTTCCTAACGACATCATTGCTTACTCGGTTGTCCCAGGATACACGAACAATGCTTCGGAGACACCTTTGATCGAACAGTAGTAACCCACGAAAGTCCTCTACTCTTAACTGCCACATTTCACATCCGTATTGTAGAACGGAGTGAATTTAAAGCATATAGATAGTTCATCTTTTAACCATTGTTCATTATCTTTATTTACAAAAATTTACAATGTTTTGTGCAGTTTCTAATCATTTATAAACTAAGCATTATCTCTTTCAAGCATCACAGCTATCAGGAGAATTTTAGTTCAAGTCTTGGCAACGTCGGGAACGAAACAAAGTTCACTGTGATATCAATTCACTTAGTCTGTTAGTGAAAATATTTACATAATATTCTACGGTCTGTATAAACTGTGGCTTTCTAACTGAAGCTGCCAACGTCTATATATAAATAAATATTGTCTAGGTTTACACTTCTGATTAGACTCAAATCAAGATCAACAACTTTTCAAACTCATTTTGTTGTTAACCATCAGTGTTAGCAAAATGATAAGAAATATTCTCATGAAAATAAAATCATTTGAAGAGCAAATAAATAAGCTTCATATTTTTTGCATTTGATAAATATCTTCTCCATTACAGGGTTGTGAATATTGTTAAGTTATACATTTTTGAAATCATGAATCGATCAATGTTAGGCCACCATTAGAAACCTGGGAGCACTGGACGGCCGTTTCGTCCTAGTATGGGACTCCTCAGCAGTGCGCATCCACGACTCCTGCACCCTGCAGGATTCGAACCCAGGACCTTCAGTATTGTGGGCAAACGCCTAACCATCGGATCACTGAGCCGGTATCTGACGGTGTTAATGTCTAACTTGATCAATTCACGGAGTCGCGCAATCCCATACACTACCTTCGGTAGTTACTGTCTACACCAGAACAGGTTGAACTTCACTGGTCACGTCTTCCCACTAGAACTCGGAGAAGATTCCTCACGAAACTAGTCACTAGTGAGCACAGGTAATTTGCATTACGGGGTTGTGAAGATTGTAAAGTTACACATTTTGGAAACCATGAATCGAGTCCTATACCAGGACGAAACGGCCGTCCAGTGCTTCTTCCAGGTTTCTAATGGTGGTCTAACATTAATCGATTCATGGTTTCAAAAATGTGTAATTATCTTCTCATCAAAAATTTTCTGTTTGTACATGTACAGTAAAAAAAAATTATAACAACTATGAATGAACACACATATTTTGTTGGTTTAAAGAAAAACAGAAACGAAGCAAGATCTTTGTTTGATAAGATTAGTAAAAATTGTTCGAATTATTATATATGAAAGCTCTGAATGCTATAACCTTTCAATGTTTCTTCTTTAAATTGATATGATTATTGATAAGCAACGATTACATTACATTTTATAGTTACTGTTACCTTCATATATAACTGATAAATACCTTGTTCACGTCATTTCTTATCCTCAAAATAATCATAATCATACTTTAGACTAAGAAAATACATTGATTTGTTTTTATGTCTAACCATTAACCAATATGTAAGTGAAAGTGTTTTTTATTAAGTGTAATTACAAAAAAAATAACTCTAATCATATCTGCTAGGTTCGATAACTGCTGTTTTTTTTCTCTATAATTCAGTAATCTTATGAAAACTAAAACCAATAATCATATATATATATATATATATATATATATATATATATATATATATATATATATTAAAGTAGTATTATTCAGATGTTTTTTTTTATGTGCATGACTGTTGTGGGAAATTCAAATGAGAGTTTCAAGAATTTCTGTTTTCATAGTACATTTGAAAGCGAAATGTTTTATGTTAGTGGACTAGTTAACTCTTCATGTAGCTCTTCTGGGGATCCTGTCTGGTTTTAAGTTTGGATTAAGGAGGAAGATTAGGCATGAAGTTAGTGACTCCATCCCATAGAAAACCTACTGGCTAAAAAACGCTAACCAGAAAGCAGCAGGACCAAACGACATTACAGCTGAGGCAATCAAGGTAGACAAAGCGATAACTGGAAAGGTGTTTCACGCTCTGTTCAGCAAGATTTGGTAGGAAAACTAAGCATGAACAGACTTGAAAAAAAAACATTGTATCAAGATACCAAAAAAGACAATCTCAACAATTTTGAGAACTTTAAAACAATTAGTCCCTTTTATAAATTTCGTTGGAACAATGAGAAGACGTAATTGATTTGAGAACTGCAATGAAATCCCATTACCACGCAAGCGGGAAACTTCTTCAACAGAGTGTTGTCGAACGGAGTGAAAAATCCATTGGACTGTCAACTTCGAAATTAACAGGCCAGATTCCTTAAGGATTGGCCGAGTAGCGACTGGATCGCGACACTACGAATCATTGTGGAACAATCAGTTGAGTGGAATTCATCACTACACATCGACTTCATTAACTATGAGAAAGCATTTGACAGGTTGGACAAGTTGACACAATCGAGGCTTCTTCGACGTCATCATGTCCATAAGAAGATAGTCAACATCACATGTAATTTTTATGATAGACTACACAGAAGAATCGTTCATGGAGGACAACTCACAGGCTCGTTCAGCGTGAAGATCGTTGTCAGGCAAGGCTGCTTATTCTCACCCTTTCTCTTTAAACTGGTGACCGACTGAATTATGAAGACGTCAAAATCTGGGAGAAGCACGGGATACATTGAGTGGCTAGACGGTCTGGACTTTGCAGATGATCCAGCTCTTCTATTTCACACAACAACAAATGCGAGATAAGACGACCAGTGTAGCAGCAGTCTCTGCAGAAGTAAGTCTCAACATACACAGGGGAAAAAGCAAGATCCCTTGATACAGCACACCAAGGAATGACTAAATCACACTTGACGCAGAAGCCTAGGAAGATGTAAAATCTTCTACATATTTGGGCAGCATCATTAATGACGAGGCTAGATCTGATGCAAATGTGAAGGCGCGGAACGGCAAAGCGAGGACTACATTCCTACAACTGAATAACATTTGGAACTCAAAACAGCTATCAACCAACACCGAAGTCATGATTTTCAATTCAAATGTCAAGACAGTCCTACTGGATGGAGTGGAAATTCGGAGAACCACGAAAGCCATCATCCACAAGATACAAGTGTTTATTAACAGTAGTCTACGCTAGGCCTATAATAAAAAAAACTCCCACAGAAAGGGCAAAAAGTCAAATATTTACACAAAAAAATGCTTCAGTTAGTAAGAAAATGATATTCAAACGACTGAATTTCGCAAGATTAAAAGGCTTTCTACACTTCTTTTTCATTTGTCTATCTAGAATACATTCATTCAGATTACAGTTAAATTAGAAACAAGTAGTGCTATATTCATTTAATTTTCTAAGATCTTGAGGTTTCGTCTAATTGAATTCTTTCTGCATCGGAACTTAGTTTTATAAATGAGTCTGAAACACTAGAGAAATTCTCTGCCAAATCTTCAGGCACCTGAAGAATGAACCTTACTAGTTTTTCACATTTCCTGGATGATATTGAATAACTTTTGCGATGCTGTTTGCTGAACATGTGGACACGTTTGAAAATAACTGTGATAAACCATTTACGCTATATTTTATTCAAGAATTAAGGGTTGTCGTTTCATTTTCGTTTTTGAAAAAACATAATATTTAGTTAGGCTACAATAAATTGTTGTCTCTCACAATTTAACCTATCTGTTTTTCTCTCTCTACAATAGATTTACATAGAATTTTTATGATATGCGCAACCAATCTATGACATACAAGGTTATAAAAAATTTAGCATAGAAATAATAGCGTAAAAACAAACACATATCGAATAGTTTGTTTGTTTGATAGAATTTACACATTCTCTACCATGAATAAACAAGTAAACGTAATAAAAATAAGTGTATATCTACTGTGTAGTCGTTTCAAATTTTAAAGACATATTTAATAAGACACAGAAATTGTAAACTTATGCATATATATATATATTGAAGTTAATTATATCTTCAAACAAATTCTATTTAGGATACATTATTGCAGTTGTATTGCTTAAAAAAATGTTTGAAACAAGTCTACTCATTGATAATACCAATGTTCGCGTTAGAAAACCTAAGAAAAATTATTTATCTAAATCAATTTTACAAAAATTCTCTCATCAAATTCAATCAATTTACAATTCATCGGTTTGGAGAAAATATCTATTAAGATTTGTTTATTTAATCAGTTTATACACAATTGTTTGCGTGATTTTTGCAGTGTACATGTACATCTTATTCTATTTCACTATATTAGCTGATTATCCTAAACTCACTGGATTACACAGTCAATTGAAATTGAATCCAGGCTTGTCAATAGTACCAAATCCGAATTTTCAAACAAGTCTTATTAATTTTCGTACATCAAATCCTGTGTCCTATTCATCCATGATCGATGAAATGACTGGATTTCTATCATATTATCAATATCATATTGTTGGTGGTATGTTTGCACAATGTGAAGATAATCCGAAATTATTAGAAATGCGACGTCCATGTCGATTTAATTTGGATTCAAGTGGTCCATGTAATTTAAAAAATGGTTATGGTTATTATGAAGGTAGACCATGTTTCGTTATAAAATTAAATCGAATTTATGGTTGGTTACCAGTACCCTTGACTAATTATACTGGTGTTTTGGTGAAATGTGAAGGACTTACTAAAATGGATTCAGATTATTTAGGTAAAATATGTTATTATGATATGGATTCATTGAAACATCATCATGCATTTAAAACAGATACGGATTGGTGTGATAAAAATTATGGTATTTATAATTCAATGTTTTATCCTTATTTAAATCAAGCTGGTTATCAATCACCATTAGTATTTGTACATTTTCATAATCCTAAACGTCATGTGATTATTTGGATAAAATGTTATGCTTTAGCTAAAAATATTCATGTTAATCTTAAGTCAAATGAAGGTTCTATTGTATTTCAAATACTTGTTGATTAAAATTATAAATAGAAAATATAATTAATTTTTGTTTGTTTATTTTTCAATGCCATTAAATATTCATTTTTACATTTTGTTTTTTTTTATAAAAAAAACGAACAAACAGACTACTGAATTTTATACAACAAACAATTTATACATGTACATTCTTGTGAAATTATTATTGTTTGTTTCGCATGAAAATCAAAACCTACAAATGACGTAATTTAAAACATTGAATATGTTTTTTTTTCTTCACAATTGAATTTTTTTTATAATGATTGTTAGTTAAATTGTTTAAATGAATCTCATTAATAGGTGTAATATTTGAACATTGAATGAATTATTTTTTTTTGAAAACAAACATTTGTCTGCTACTTATAAAATAACAGTATTCTTGATTTTTTTTTCGTTTTGTTTTAATCAATAGGAATGTTCAATATCAAATATTGTTAAATAGATGAAGCAAACGATTTACACACGTGATCAATAGATTATTCGATCTTAAGATCAGATTTCTGTGTTTGATTGCTGTAAATAATCAATAATTGTAGTCACAGTTTGATTTGAACATTCATCGCTTTTGGGTCTTTGTCGTCATGTTCAATTTTTTACGATTTCTTTGATTCTCGCTGTTACTTCTTTTCAGCATCACAATCAAAACATATTTGTTATTCTTTCGTTACATTACGTTTTAGGCACTTGTCGATTTTACTCAATGATAACAAATTATTTTCGGGCAGAGTTTAGGAGGTTTTGTGTTTTTGCGCATTTGAAATCATCAACCAATCATTGTTAGACCACCATTAGAAACCTGGAAGCACTGAAAGACGGCCGTTTCGTCCTGGTATGGGACTCATTAGTGGCAGTGCGCATCCACGACTCCTGCACCTCGCAGGATTCGAAGGTGGGACCGTCGGTATTGTGCGCGAACGCCGGACCACTGGGTCGGCATCCAACGGTGTTAATGTTAAGGAGTCGTGGATGCGCACTGCTGATGAGTCCCATACTAGTATGAAATGGCTGTTCAGTGCTTCCAGGTTTCTAATGATGGTCTAACAACAATCGGTTGATGATTTCAAATGTGTCATAACAAATTAGTTGTTATCAATGATATGGCTTTTTAATATTCTTTTTTACACAAATTAACCACTAGTAAATATATATATAGGGTACTAGATAATTTATCTTGGATAAATCACGATCAGACTGTAATCTCGTGATCTATACTTTACATATGTTCTCTTAAATTTTAACCTTCTGAATTCCTCATCATCTCTGTCTTACTCTTTCTAAATTTATCTCACTGAATTATACTTCTTGAATAATATCTTCGGATACTAATCTTCTTCATTACTGCTAATACTTCTACTATCTCTACCACTATGTGATTTGAACTGACAGTTACGTCTCTGTGCTAATGTGGTATATCAACGTGAACTGATGTACTGATGTACAAAGTTCTGCGTTGTATCTTTTGTATCTATGCTTTTCATATATTTTCAAAATGAAATACGCTACAACTCATGTTGGAGAAAAGTCATTTTGAATTATCAAGAGCGATTTAGCTTTATGATGAACATTTTATGAATTTTCCCACTTAGGTAAAGTAGTGGTTACTGACTGTCGCAGTTTATTTGAATATTATGAACATTCACACTAAGGGGCACCAAAATACTTATGTTTCATGCAGATTATTGGAATTTTGTATGGGCTAGGATATTGTCTGAGTAACCAAACTGAAACAGATGGTTTTTATAAGGGGCTGTTCCTTGAATCTCTGACTTAAAAGTCTAATCCATAAGGCAGTGGAACAGCGTTAGCGAATACATTCCTATGGTGTCTAGTAGTCAAGACGTTGTTCATACGCTATTCGTGATCCTGGAGTCCATGTTAACCATTGTTTTGGAATTAAGGTTTTCGAATTCCCTTCCGTACTCACTGACCGTGTTTAAGTACCGGGCATCTGCTTTCCGTCCACTCAAGTTCGTAAACAATAATCCCATCACCGGAAGGCAGGGAGTAGGACTTTCCTGGCAGTGATCACATACGTATGGTTATATGAACGATATATAAGAGACCTGACTCTCCTCATTTTTGACCGTATCATGGCGTTTGAGAGCAATCGTAAACCCGCGACTAGTTTGTATTGAGCAATATAGTGAAAGCAACGAGTCTGTACCAATACGTGTGCTGTGTTTTTGTTTTCTGAGTGTATCTATTGATAGCAATCAAGCTCAGTTTACGTGTTCGCATATGATACCTAGAATCCCTACAAAATAGACAGGGTAGAGTAATTATTAATTGACAAAGAAGAATATTAATAAACAGTGAATAAATAGTAGTAAAGTGAAAATAAGTGGAAATGACAACTCAACGGTAAATAGTAATGTCTTATATTTGAATGGACTCTATACTAATAAATATGTTTTTAGAATAGATGGAATGTAGTTAGTATTGAAGTCTTGGATGTTTGTTCTCTTCTGTTAAGAACTTGTCACCTGCTAATCGCACTCCATCTATTCTACAAGACAACACGCATCGTGATATGCTCACCAACTGAAATGCTCGAAACTATTACGACTTCATCTTACTCGGTAAACGGAACGAAGGTCAACGATACAGAGAACCGATAGGCTATTGTAATCCGATCGCCCCTGGCCCGTTTAACTATATCATGAAGTCATCATAAGGCGTAGAAAGTGTGTTCTACAAGCACCCAGAAAATACGAGATTGACATGCACACAAATTGATTTTATTTATACTAGATAGAAACGTCCTCGCTAGAGCCACAAAACAGATTACTAAAATAATCCATCAACTAATGATAATCAAGGATTTTCGGAGGGGAAAATGTCAGCTCAAGGTTGAGTAAGTGACTTATGCGCGAACACATAACATCCAAAATTAGGGCCCTTTCCAAGCGAGTTCTGGTGATCTTACGTCCCCAATACATATGCAGACTGAGATTTGTTGAAACTGACATGTTTGCCTATGGCTCAGTGGTTTCAAAATTAAGTGTTCAGCCAGAGATCTGGGAATCTTGAGTTTAGAGTTTGTGATAGGGTCCTGAATACCCTAGAGCCATGAGTCCCATACTAGGACAAAACAGCTACGCAGTGCTTCCTAATTTTCACTGGTTATTTGAATAAAATCAGTTTAGGATATAAACTATCACCTGAACACAATCAAACATAGTTACGTGAATTATTATGTATTTACTGCTTAGGTAATTTCATGTTGACGCTGATATGCTTTCATCAGCACTTGGAGGTGTTGAGTTCCACCCCATTTAAGGTTGCTCATATTCACTACAGAAGAATCCTAAACCTAATTGAAAAAAATTATCTACTGCTATTCTTATTTTTAAATCATGACACAACAAACACTTGATCAAGGTTCAATAGCTTATGCAAATGTATTTTTAAAAAAAGATATACATATATTTATTCAATGAAATTTATATGATCAAACTAAGTTCACATATTAAATCCATGGTTCGCTAAATTTGTTTGAATTCATTCAAGCAACCAGCATTTTTTTGTTCAGTTTTAAAAAAAACTCCATGTCTAATATTATAATGAATGAATGATATATTAGAATAATATTTCTACAGTAATCAGATAAATTTTTATTCATTTTCACTAAGTTTATACTTTTATTTTATTCAACTAGTATAGATAGATAAATAAATCAGTAACGATCAAAATAGAAAAAAATATACAACACGATTTATTGAAATTTATTATCTGAATATGTCCACTCTTGATGTCTGGGCAAGAGATATAATGAAGTGCAATATATACATATATTTTTGAAATCCTGAATTGATTGATGTTAGACCAACATTAGAAACCTGGAAGCAGTGGACGGCCGTTTCGTCCTGGTATGGGACTCCTCAGCAGTGCGCATCCACGACTCCTGTACCCCGTAGGGTTCGAACCCAGGACCTTCGGTATTGTGCGCGAACGCCCTAACCGTTAAACCACTGAGCCGGTATCCAACGGTGTTAATGTCTAACTCGAATCCTGCGGAGCGCAGGAGTCGTGGATGCGCACTGCTGAGGAGTCCCATACCATGACGAAACGGACGTCCAGTACTTCCAGGTTTCTAATGGTAGTCTAACATCGATCAATTCATGGTTTCAAAAATGTGTAACTTAAAAATCTTCACAATCCTGTAATGCATATATGTATATATTTAGAAATATTCATTGAACTAATAAATATATTCATCTCCTATCAAATTCCGAGTGGTTAAGTAATCATACAAAAGAGACTAATCAATAAGAAGCACAAAGCAGATTGAAGTGAAAGTGTGTGTATAATGAAGGAATCAATGTGAAAAAGTTGTCAAAAATCAAAAATGAAAGTTAGTTTAGATAAATGACAGCGGTTAAAACGTAGGCATTATTTATTACACAAGAAACTAGTCTTAACAATCATCTAATCATTGGTAAAGATTTAAAGATAAAAAACGAAAGTAGAGAGAAATGAAACGTGCTTAAAGTAAGGCAAGTAATATATTGTAATATCAGGAGTTTGGATGTTTGTTAGTTTATGACATCATGACAAAAAACTAACAACTGTTCTTTATAGAACAGAAAAAAAAGTAATTGACTTTCGTTTGAAGGTTTAATAAATTTGGGCAAATCAGAATAGATGTTGAATATTGTGTTTATTTGTTAATTGGCTAAGTGAGTTTAATAGAATTGTAGGTTATTACGTTAACGAACTACACTTAACATGTAATCCATCTTTCAGGTAAATACCTAACTCCTTAATCAAGTAACCTTGTTCTCTGTTTTTTTGCTGTATTTATCTTAAGAGTGGAATCGTGAATCAATCATCGTTAGACCATTATTATCATACTGTATGTGTGGTGTGCAAGGTATCACTAGTTTCTTGACGGTTGATATCCAACGTGTTCTTAAACTTCGTAATTCGCTCGGTTAGGCAGTCGTTACCAAATAGCGCCTGACGGTTATAAATCACAAGGTAAATAAACACTAGGGGTTGATTACGTTTATTTTTGACACACCACAAACACACAGAACAGAGCAAGCACATCAGCGAGCGAATTGGTGATTACAATGAAGTGAAGTGGAGAAGGCTAGTGAGACAACTCCACTAGATAAAGTATGACTTAGAATTTATAGTCAGGCAAAAATAAGACAGACATGTGACAAGCGAGATAGGCATGCAGCCACATCAATAAAAGCAACGAATGATTGACAAGGTCAAAAGACAAATGAGATAAGTCATGTGAGCTAGACATTGAATGACTCGTTACAGATGCATTGGACGGCCGTTTAGTCCTGGTATGGGACTCATCAGCCGTACTCATCTACAACTCCTGCTACTCATAGGATTTGAACCCAGGAGCGTCGGCACTGCATAGAATACCTATTAGCTAACAAACATTCATTGATAGTGAGACCGTTTCTAGATTCGAACAGTATTGTGAATGATTTCATTTCACAAGGGAATAATCAATTCCATTATCTGATAACTCTTTTGATTTTCTTCATCATGGCAGTATTTTTTTAAAATTTCATCTATGAATTATTACTTTATCTTCTGCTGTATTACTTTGCACAATTTCTTCAGTGCTTTTTATTGTAGGCACTACTTATTCACGTTTTTAAAAAAGTTCGTTCAACCTTTTTTTTGTGACACCATTTTTAAACGGATTTCTTTTGGGGTTGTTCCATATAAATGTGCTAATACTCGTTTTACATCATGAGTCTAAATCAATGAATTCTAATTGACACGTCATGTAATATTTTATCTTCAAGTTATTTCGTCGATAAACAAAAGTTATCACTTGCATCAGGCTTATGGCTTGATTTCGATAACACAATATGGTGAGTATTAATAAACTGTCTCATTTGGAAATTATAACCGGGTATAGTCTGTCTCTAGGATGACTTTGATGACTGTGACTTTATCGTCTCTAACTGTTACTTCGGCTAAATGAATTCGAAACATTTTTCATCAATGTACACCGAAAATTTGCAAGTCCATCCTATGAATTGTTGTTGCCTAACAAAATAGACTGTAATACTATATTAAACTAGTCAGTTTCCGCTCCATTTATTGTATAAATTTTGTTTGAATAGCAAGGTTTAAATTTACTTTAAGTTCATTGAATGATTGTTGACATTGAATAGCCTAGAATTCGACAAACTCTTATTTGAATTATCGATTTTTGAACTATTAATTAAGACTTTGTCCAGTTTGTTAATACATTGATTGGCGCTCATGTCTTCTACTCCATTACGTAGGTAGGCTATATGATGGATAGCATTGGTAACTCATTGATCGTTTCAAGACATTTCGCAATTACAATTTGTATTGTTCTGTTGGACCACTTGTATATAAATAACGGTTCCTTAAATTACATTTGGTCAATTGGTCAGTATTTTTTGTCAATCTGTTTGCGGGATCATACTAAAATGCATTGAAGGACCAGTATTTGTTTACAATTATCTCCAAATAGAAATCAATAGAGAGTAACCAAAATCCAAATTAAAATTAAGTATGCTGTGCAAACTTTCCTGAAATGTGTCATTGAAAGCTAATAAAATGAGTTTACTGACTAAGTTTGTGAGGTCTATAAAAGAATTTTAGAATACCAGAGTGTTCTAGAATATGCATCGAAATGTATAACAACATTCTAAGTAGATAGTCTTTTAGAAATTCTAGTTGTATACTTATCCGTTAAGAAATATAAAACCTTATGTAGTTCCAATTACACTTGAGAAATTGGTTATTACAGTCATAAAATACACACTCTTAAGCATTTTCCTATGAAAAATGTTTTTTTAAACCCACCTACATATTTATAACTAAGTTTTTTTCTGGCATTTCGTCAGTTCGCTATATTTTTTTAAGTTTTTTAAAAATTCTATATAAAAACAATATGTAGACAAACTACTTTGTAATCGGTCACGTTTAAAATGCATAATACAGAAGTTAAATTCAATTTCTCATGTACTGTAACCCTCTTCCGTGAAACTAAACCCGATTTCTGTCATCTTGCTTCATGTTCTGAGATCTATATTCAATTTTTACCACGATGAGAGTTATTTATTGGACTGATATTATATTTAAACATTATATAGGGATAGAATTTAGGATGAATTAGAGTTTTTGCCAACCCATACATTCTCTTGATGAACTATTTTCAAGTAAATTTTGATTTGCTATGTAGTATGGTGAGAATAACATGTTTGTGGTTTAGACTTCAATGAGTTGATCAACAGTGCAAATGTAAATTTAAGTACAATTACTAATTTGTGAACAGTAAAGAAATAGGTGAAGATGATTCCTCTTAATTTTTCCTATAAAATCGTTGAAATACACCAACGACAAACTATCATCAAACCTTTCAGTACCATAAACCAGTCTTTGTTTTCTTCGACAGCTTAGAAATATCTTAATTAATTTTATCAAACAATCAACCGGTTTTCAAGTCATTATCAAAATTAAAAACTACAAAAACATTTTTAATTCAAACTCAATGGTTATTTGGATTTACTCAATGCTACCAAGGACTGAAATCGATCAGTCTTCTTTGGTCCATATGCTCTCTGTGACGACTCACTACTTAAAAATTCCTAAACAATTGTTACGATTATGTTTTTGCGCTATATATAATAAACTCCTGATGGTTTTTGTAATGCATTTCAGTAAATAAACAGTTTCTTAACACTTTAACTCTTTGTCAATGAATTATTCAAAATATTTTGATGGAACACAGTGAGAAGATGCAGAGTTGATCTAAAAAATGATGTGATATATGTGCGCTATACACATTTCGAACAATCTGGACACAAATATTTGCATTTGTCAAGGCATTTTATATGAAGATTAATAAAAGGTGGTCAATTAACTAAAAGTGATAATTGTAAATAAAGGTGTTGGGGATGTTAGATCTCCAAAACTCGCTTGATAAATGCCTTATTTTGCAGTTCGTGTTTACGAGCATGGGCTGATCAGTTGACCTTGAGATTTCATTTTCCACCAGGAAAATCCATGGTTGTGATTGGCTGCTGTGTATTTTAGTGTGCTATTTTTGTGACTCTGCCAAGGACGTTTCTATGATGTATAAATAAACGAGAGTTGTTTGCTTGATTGTAGTGTGCTTGCTGGGTGTTTTAGAATATACTTTCTACGCTTATCAAGACTTCTCTTTTACAGTTTTGGGATGAAGGTAGCCTACTTGGACGTTGGTTGATTGTCTCGTTCGCATTTATCGACTAAGGTGAACTCGTAATAGTTTCAAGCGTACCTGGTGACGAACTTAACAAAAGGAGAGAGAAAATTAACGAACTGTGAAAAAGAATAAGAAGGGATAGGAAAATTGTCACATTACCCTGGGTTTAAAGATTACCAAGATAAATTCAAGTTGATAACAAAATACATCACATTTTTTCGGATCAATTACTGTTATGTTCGTCACTAAGTATGCTTGAGGCTATTGCGAGTTCACCTTAGTCGATAAACGCGAACGAGACAATGAACCAGCGTCCAGGTAGGTTAACTTGAATCCGAGGCTGAAGCAAAAAGGCTTTGTAAGCGTAGAAAGTATATTCTACAAACACCCAGCAATCACAATACAATCAAGCATACAACTCTCGTTTATTTATGCATCATAGAAACGTCCTTGGGACAGTCACAAAAATAGCACACTAAAATACACAGCAGCCAATCACAACCAAGGATTTTCCTGGTGGGAAATGAAATCTCAAGGTCAACTGATCAGCCCATGCTCGTAAACACGAACTGCAAAATAAGGCATTTTTCAAGCGAGTTTTGGGGATCTAACATCCCAAACAATTACATCTTCTTATTGCTCTATCAAAATTTATAGAAAGGGATTAAATATTCAAAATATTATTTAATTTTTCAAACAAAACGTTAAATCAGTCTAATAAAAGTTCAAATCACTTATTCATGGGTTCAGTGTTATCATGCATTGAGCTCAAAATAAAATAAAATATTCACCTAACTTATATATATATATATATATATATATATATATATATATATATATATTTGGTTGTGCTGAACAAAATCTTTCATCCAGCTAACACTTTCACATTGTATATTGGTTAGTTGAATATATAAGTGTGATTATTTTTTTTCAATTCAACTCATTTCATTTGGTTGGTTTTTTTTTATTTAAATGAGAAAAATTATAATTTATTTATTCAAAAAAATATATACATATCTTTAAAAATTTGAAAAAAAATAACTCATTTTATTTGAGTGAAAAGAAACCATTTTTACTGATATATTTATAAATACATATATATATAAATATGAAACAATAACGTTTGGATCTAAAACAAATTATACACTTTACACAGAGAAAAATAATTTGATTGCCAAATCATTTTAGCTATGAGGAAAAATAAATATTGGTCATATTTAATTGATCTTTTCAAAAAAGATACTGAAACTGAAGGTAAATTTAGTTTGTAAATGTATTTTTCTCTGGAATATATATATATATATATACATAAAGTTCATTGTGAATCGCCTAGCTGAAGGACCCAATGGAGCATAGGTCGCACACCAATTTCCTCCAACCAACTCTGTCCTGGGCTTCCCTCTCCAGTTCTGTCCAATGTTTGTTCATTCCTCTCTCTTTCTCGGCGTAATGTGTCCCTTGACCTTCCTCTTTCTCATTGACCTTGGGGGTTCCATGTGAGGGCTTGTCTGGTGATGCAGTTAGGTGCTTTTCTCAGTGTGTGTCCTATCCGCTTCCACCGCTTCTTCCTGATTTCCTCCTCCACTGCAATCTGGTTTGTTCTCTCCCACAGTTAGTTGTTGTTGATGGTGTCTGGCCAACGAATCCGAAGTATTTTGCAAAGACAACTGTTCATAAATACTTGTATCTTCTAGATGACGGCTTTGGTAGTTCTGCAAGTTCCCGCTCCAAACAGTAGAACTGTCTTGACATTTGTATTGAAAATCCTGATTTTGGTTTTGGTTGAAATTTGTTTGGAGTTCCAGATATTTTTCAACTGTAGAAATGCAGCACTTGCTTTGCCAATCCGCACCCTCACATCTGCATCGGATCCACCTTGATTGTCGATGATGCTGCCCAGATATGTAAAGGTGTTAATGTCCTCCAAGGCATCTCCATCAAGAGTGATTTGTTTGGTGCATGTTGTGTTGCATCGGAGAATTTCGCTTTTTTCTTTATGTATGTTGAGACCTACTGCTGCAGAGGCTGCTGCTACACTGGTCGTCTTCTCTTGCATTTGTTGTTGCGTGTGCGATAGAAGAGCCAACCAGTTAAGTAGGGGATTCATAAAGATGAATTTTCAATTATCAGATGATCTAGGAATTATCAACACTTCAGGTTTATTTACTCTCCAGCCTCTGATTACATACATTACATTACATTCTAACCAATATTTATTATCACTGAATGTGTGTGTGCGTGTTTGCCTGAAAGTATGCTAATAAATTTCTACGTCATGATTGCTTTTTACTTAGTGTTAAATTTAACTGAATCGACGACAATCTTAGCTGCCAAATTACAACATACATTTTCAAAATATCATCGGAGTAACAATCTAAAAAAAATGTAACACACACTTTCATATTTTGATTCTTTGGGTATTATTATCATGTTACCTGATTATCTTTTAAGATTCATTTTAAAATTTATTCATGACCTTCAATTTTACATGAATCCATCAATTGGACATTGAATATATTTTAACGAATGTAGCTTTGAAAATTTCTACTGAATCTCAATAAAGTTTTAATAATAAAGCGTACAGTTTAAAAGTATCATATTCTATATTTTTACTTTATTTATTTACAGATGATCAAGAAGTACTACGTACACTCACATGTCGTCAAAGATTATTGAGAAAGATTTATCCATTAGGATTTTTATATGAATTAAAAAATGTACTTCGTTTAGCAGTACCTATTGTAAGTGAATGAACAAGAAAATCAGTTTTATTGTTTTTTTTCTTGTGAAATCAAAACATAAATGGTGCTTTTTATTGTTTAAATTTTCTGAAATTAAAGCAAAGATGTTATGTGTTATTAATTATGAGTGAATAATTTTATGCATTACTTATATACTTCTGCTAGTAATATCTATTCAATTCGAATAATTTACACAATAAGAGTAATCAGAAAACTAAATAGAGGCTAAATGTATTGACTTCAACCAGATCAAGTGAGTTGTCATCAATCAACTAGTGACATTTACTCATCCATTCCTTATTAGCTCTTCTACTACACTTGACAGAATTATGGTGGAAATATCAAATTGTGCGGTATTTTTCAAACTTCAATTATTGATCAACTATCATTTTAACAATTTTAAATCTTTTCCAGTCTACATTCATTGATCATTAGAAAATTTTATTGAACATAAAATAATAGAACTAACATGGTTTTCGTACTCATTTGTACCACTTTTCCTACAATATGGTACTCACATTTTTGGCCAAAATGTCAATACTGGATTAATGAACTTGAAAAAAATGCCTTCACATTGATCATACGATAAGTACAGGAATGAACACTGGTTTCTAATTAAATTCATTCCTAGAATTGACCACACTTTCAAACTGTTCTTGTTAGAATGTTGATTATACGGATTATACATTTTTAATAAAATTAAAACTGATTTGTCTTACTTCAGAATAAATGGGCTTAAATAAGCATGTGGATTGATGTGAATTTGAAATCTCTACATCAAGATAGGTTGGGGCTTAAATAGCCGCCCAACAAGTGCAATATAACACATAGTGTTAATTTAGACTTTAATGCAAACTGTAATTTCAATTCTTTCTCTCTCTCTCTCAGTTTACTGAAAGTATTGAATTGTTTTTAACCAAGATTTTTATCATTAACTAACATCTAATTGATATATTTTCTTTTTATCATTTTAGACTATTTCATCAATGTTAACTTATGCGATTTCACCTGTTAGCATGGCATTCTGTGGTCATTTAGGAAAAATTCAATTAGCCACAATGGGTTTAGCTATGTCAGTTTTTAGTGTTTGTGGTATGTTTGTTATTCTAGGATTACTTTCTGCATGTGATACATTATTTTCACAAGTAAGAAAAAAAAATCATGTTTTATTTTGATATGAAGAATAGTTAATTGGTTTTATAATAAATCGTTTCTTTCTTGTGTAATCTATACACAGAAGTATGTTTCAAACATAAAAATATTTTACTATGAAATCACTGTTAGACTGCCATTAGAAACCTGAGAGCACTGAACTATCGTTTCGTCCTGGTATGGGAATCTTATGAAATGATCTTCCATGACTCCTGCTACTTACACAATTCGAGTCCAAGACCTTAGGGCTTGCTCGCAAACACCTAACCTCTGGACCACTGAGCTGGCATCCAACAGTATGATTACTCAACTATGATCAATCTACGGATTTGTGCAATCTAACCCAATGTCTTCGGTAGCTACCGCCTATACCCGATAGCGTTGAACTCCACTGATTCACTGAGAAAGCATTTGCCCGCATAACCGAAGGTTTCGCACTCAAATCTTGCTAGTAGCAAGAGTTGTGGATGTGCATTGCTGATGAGTCCCATACCCGGAAGAAACTGCTTTTAAGTGCTATTGAGTTTCTTATATAGAATGAAAGTATAAACTACTGAGACAAATCGTAATCTTTCACATTATTCTCACTTTTGCATCTAATATAATTTACAAGTATTAATATAAGAGCAAATTTTAGTTCATGTAATAAAAATGTAAGCCTTTATGTGATTTATTGATTCATGTACAAAAACTGACAGAACAATATTGCAATTCTAGAAAAAGCTTTCTGATCCAAAAAATTCAATTATTCACTTAATATCATTAACAAAGACACTAGAGATTAAAACATCAAAACCCACTTAAATAATCGAATAATAATAAATGTCAATTCTAAAGTGTGCAAAGCTGATCCATTGATTGAGGCATTCAACATGTTGTCATTGCAATGCAGATTAAAATCCTAGTTCATCTATTCTAGTTTTTGGATAGCACCAATCAAATCACACTTGACGGAGAAGCTCAGGAAGATGTAAAAACCTTGACATATCTGAGTAGCAACATTGATGAGCAAGGTGGATCTGATGCAGATGTAAAGGCGCAGACTGGGAAAGCGAGGGCTGCATTTCTACAGTTAAAGAACATTTGGAACCCAAAACAGCTATCGACAAAGATCAGAGTCACGGTTTTCATTACAAATATCAAGACAACTCTGTCATATGTAGCAGAAACTTTGAGAACCAAGAAAGCCATCATCCACAAGGTATAAGTGTTTATTAACAGTTATCTACACAAGAAACTGAAGACCCGTTGGTCAGACAACCCATCAACAATAACCTATGGTGGGATAGTACAAACCAGATTGCAGCTGAGGAAGAAATCAGGAAGAAGCGCTGGAAGTGAATGGGATACACATTGAGGAAAGGACCCAACTGCTTCTCAAGACAACCCCTCACTTGAAATCGTGAAGTTCAAATGAAAATAGGAAGACCGAAAAACACTCTGAGCCGAGTACTGGAAGCAGATATGAAAAGAATGAACAGCAATTAACTGGGTAGAAGTTAACAGGAAGGCCCAGGACAGGGTAGGCCTTAAATCCATTAAGAATTTTATGCCTAAATAAGTTTTTGGACGGCTGGGTCGTACTGTGGTGCGCGCTACTTATAAGTAGTATGTGACACGAGTAAAAACGTAATGTCTGGCAGCAGAAGTTGGGGGAAGATCAAGAAAGAAAGAGTGGGAACACAATGGGATTTATATGAAACGCATGAACACTGAAAGGTCAGACGAATGGATTGATATTTTGTAAATTAACGGTTTACGATATGGTTTTCCTATTTTACCAATTAACTCCGTAATTTCAGATAAATACAATTCGGTTGCCCTCACCTGTGTTCTCCTTCACTACATTTGATGTCGCTGCCTACGCAAAGGATGAAGATTCCATGGCCGAAGGAATTTGAGGACGGAGATGTGAGGAGCTTCCTGAAGGAGTTTGAGGCCGTGGCGGAGCTGGTGGGTGTGAAGAAGCCGAGGGCGAAGTTAGTGGTGCTGGGGACGCTACTGAGAGGTAGGGCAAAGGCCGTATATGACAGCTCGGACGGCGCTGGTGGGAAGACGAAATGGGAGACGGTCACGGAGCGGTTGATAACGAAGTTCGACAGCGCAGTGGACGGGGAGGAAGCGCTGCAGTATCACTGCATCATACATTTAGAGTGTGGCTAAAATCCAAGTACACGGATTCACATCTGATAAATTGGTTGATAATAGTACCTTTTTGAGAATTAATTTCTTATTAACTTAACATTTATCGATCTTCTTATTTTTTTATTGCTACATTCCAGACATTTGGAAGTAAAATGAAAGATAAAATGATTGTACAACTATACAGAGGTAAGCTTATTTCATTTACATTATGATTATTGAACAATGAACATACTATATAGTTAGTTTCCATTCTTGATTGACATTAGTTAAATAACTAGACATTAAATACCAGAAGAATTTACAAAATTGTTGTAATTATAAATTTCTTATTCAATCCAGCAGCTTATTAACAATAAGACACAAACGGAAATGTTTCTGTGGACATTTTTGTTTTACAATTATAATATATTCAATCAACTGAATGTGGTTATGAAAATAAAAGGGATTGAATTTTGAAAGTTATATGTTCAATAAAATATCATACCATAAAGACCTAATATATATATATATATATATATATATATATATATATATATATATATATATATATATATATATATATCAGTAAATTTATTAAAGAAGTTTTGTTTGAACTAATAGAAACTGTTTATAATAGATTGATTTCTAAGTTCAATGACGAACAGTTTCAATGAATTTGCTCCAGTTTCATTTGGATAAACAAATTTTCTGTATCCTATTCAAAGTGAAAATAATTAACTTTAAATAAAAGTAATTTGTCTATTGTAGTTAAATATTATTTTTTAATAAGTAAATGAATACCGGCACCTGAACTAGTGATAGAGAGTGAAGTAGACGAACGTATAGACTGCTTCATTTATCTGGGAAGTCTCATCAGTGCTGATGGTGACTGACGAAATCTCAGTATGGATACAGAAAGCTCAATTGACTTTTGCCAACTTGCGTCACCTATGGCGCAGGTGAGATATCCGTTTGCTAACTAAAGGACGAGTGTACTCACAGCAGTTTGCTTCGTCCTACTATCTAGATTCGAAACATGGCCGGTGAGAGTAGAGGACATTCGTAGATTGCTTGTCTCTGATCATATGTGTCTCCGAAGCATTGCTCGTATATCTTGGGACAACCGAGTGAGCAGTGCTGTCGTTAGAAAACAAATACTGGGTAGGGATAGCAAATCAATAGATGAAGTAAGAAAACTTCATCAGTTGAGGTGGTTGGGACATGTGTTACGAATGCCTAACCACCGACTGCCGCGACAAGCAATGTTATGTGGTGTAGGAGTAGGTCGGAAGAAAGCTAGGGGCGGCCAAACCAAAACATGGCACAAATTCATGAAGTCACTGACAAGTGGACTGAGTCATGTTGGTAGATGTAGACTACCTGGTTGGGGTCCGCGAGACGAAAGTCACCGATGGTCACATATCCTGAATGACATGGCTCAAAATCGTTTGCAATGGTGCAGGTGCAGCCACTTTTTGTGTTCTAACTCTAATCTTCTCCATTACTGCTACTACTTCTACTGTCGCTACCACTATCGGATTTGAACTGACAATTGCGTCTCTGTGCTAATGCGATATGTCAACCTGCACCGATTTACATACGTACAAAGTTCTGTGTTGTATCTGTCTGTCTGAATGGATGAATACCATTCCATTGAACATACACATTTTCTAACTGAGACTAATCAAAATCCAATTAAAATTTTTAACAATTAGATCATTCAAACACTTTACAATATAAGAATATATAATCTAAGTTTATTGTCTAAAGTTAAATGTTCAATTGGTGATTTTAACTTGAAAAAGTTACAGAAACCAACCCTGTTTTTTTTATTATAACATATAAATAAAACAATGCAGTAAATTAAAACATGCAAAGTTTAAAATTTTTTTTTTCGAAGTACACTTATAATTTTAAATTTCTTTTTCAAAAGTTTTTAAAAAAAAATTTCAAGCACTCATCAAAATTAAATAGTTCCGACTGAATTCCAATTCTGTGTTTGTCTTTTTCAAAAAAATATTTTCCATAGCTGTTATCGTGATTTTACTCTGTTGTATACCATCATGTGCTTTGTATTTGAATGCGGAACCATTATTATTATTACTTGGACAAAATCCTTTAATAGCAAAGTGAGTGTTGTTTGTTTTTTAAAAAAAAATTAATATGTTAAATCAAATAATTCCTTCAAATAATGAATCAGTTTGTTAGTTGAGAAGTTAAAGTATTTAAATAGTTAAATATTTTGTAATGATTAATGACAAATTTAAAATGTGTTCACTAGTGACTAGCTTCGTGAGAAAATTCTCGTAGTTCTAGTGAGAAGACATGAACAGTGGGCAGTAACTACCAAAGACAAATGTGTGAGGTCGCGCAAAAATCCCTTGATCAATCAGAGTTAGACATTAACACCGTTGGATACCGGCTCATTAGTCCAGAGCTTAGGCATTCGCACACAATACAGAAGGCCCCGGGTTCGAACCCTGGTAGATGCAGGAGTCGTGGATGCGCACTGCTGATGAGTCCCAACACCAGGACGAAACGGCCATCCAGTGCTTCCAAATTTCTAACGGTGGTCTAATAATGATTGATTGATGATTTCAAATGTGTAAAGAAACACTAATCTCCATAACTCTAATTGAAATTATTTTTGTTAAATGTTCAATGATCGTTTTAGCTTGGCGATCGATTTGTTCACTGCAAAATTCATTGTTTCTAATTCATAATACCATTAGAGTATAAAATAGCTAATCTTGAATAGCATATTTGGTCGGTTAATGGTAAATATTGAAGTAACACGGATCTCTTCAATGAAACTAGATGACTGTCATATGCAGACATTGTTTATGGTGTTAGCCTATTTGAAATGTCACAAAATCTATCTGTTATAAGTATAAATTATGCCAGAATAGTAGAAACATGATTTATACTTTGCCATAAAGTTATTTCAATCCTCTTTTTAAATCATAGTGAGCTCTTTTTTTACATAATCTAATTTTTTTATTATATTAATTAAAATTTATTTGTCATTCAATAGGGGAACTGGTGAATTATTACTTTATCTGATACCAGCATTACTTGTAAGTTACGAAAACATTTATAACTATTCGTATTACTTTTATTAAAGTTCGGTGCACTTGGACAACTGTTGATCAAGTTTGTACAAACTCAAGTTAGTTCAGACAGAGTGTTTTTTGTAATTTGCATGTCTTTATAATTGATCATGTTTGATCCTCATCATAGTCGATATCATATTTTACTGTTCTTTCGTAAAAAAAATACTTTTATTCTTTAAAAATAATAAGTGCTCCTCATTTTAACACAATTTATTTATTTATTTGACATATTCATTACATTAAGGGGTTGTGAAGTTACACATCTTTGAAATCATGAATCGATCAATATTAGAACACCATTAGAAACCTAAAAGCACTGGACGGCCGTTTCGTCATGGCATGGTACTCATCAGCAGTGCGAATCCACGACTCCTTCACTCCGCAGGATTCGAACTCAGGATGAGTCGGCCTTCCAGTGCTTTCAGGTTTGTAATGGTGGTTTAACACATCGATCGATTCATGGTTTCAAAAATTTGTAACTTAACAAACTTCACAACCCCGTAATGCAATTACCTGTTCTCTCTAATGACTAGCTCCGTGAGGAATCTTCTCCTAGTTCCAGTGGGAAGTAGTGACCAATGAAGTTCAACCTGTTCAGGTGTAAACAGTAACTAACTACTGGAGACAGTGTATGAAGTTGCGCAACACCGTGAATATTCATTACCATCACAAATATAATGACAGAGATAAATTAAGCCTTAGGTTAATTTTAAGAAAATCTCTTCAAGTGTTCATTGCATAATATTTGTTTAAAGTATGAAGATAGATCATTGAAAAAAAATAATTAAGTTATATCTAGATGAGTGAATACTTAATTGGATCAGGTTTCTTTTTGTTCGATTTTTCTTTTACATACATGTAATAAGTTTGTAATTCTGAATATATTTGATTTTAATAGAATTTAACTTGTTGAAAACTTTTTCCTTTAGGCAATTATTTCTAATTCGCCTACTTAGTTATTATTATGTGCAAATATAAAAAAAATCATTTTATATTTTGAGTAATATTTTTTCTTAAAGACTAAATTAGAGTCTTTTCAAAATCTTAATCCTAGAATTTAATATTCTGCGCTAATTTTATACGTCGTAGTAATCAGACTAGTGTTGCTTAATTCAAAATTATAATTTGCTCTGTTCAATCAAGGTCTAGTTTATCGATCGGTGTGAGTGATTCTAGTTCACACAAATAGGGGAGCCAAGGAAACTGTGACAATCAAAAGGGTGACCATCCAAGAGGTGAATATCAATAAAGATGATCACTGAAGGCGGGGAAATAACATGTTTAATTTGCTCTCTGTCTTCCTACCTTACGATCAGTCAAAAAATTAGTTTTCCAAATGCCTACTGAAGAACAAATACTGAAGTTCATCGAACTGGTTAGCAAAGTGTTATTATTATTGCCTCAATCATATGATCTCGCATGCTTATTTCAAACAGCTAGTGGATAGTCTATTTAGAGGGGTGCTTCAAAAATGCTAGTGAAATTTCATTGAGATCATTAATTGATCACTGGTAGACCACAATTAGAAACCTGGAAGCATTATATGTGACTCGTCAGCAATACACATTCACATCGAAGTCAAACCCAAGAACTTCGGTCTCGCATGCAAACGCCCTAGTTCTTGGCCCTCTGAGCCGGGATCCAACGGTGTTATTATTTAACGTCAATCAATCCAAAGTATTGCACGACCTCATCCTTTATCGTCAGTAGGTAACTGCTTCACACCTGATATGAGTGAACTCCACTGATGGATCGATTGACAATAGGAATTAACATCGTTGGGTGCCGGCTGAGTAGATTATAGGTTTAGCGTTCACTCGGGGGACCGAGGGTCCTTGGTTCGACTCGTGTATGCATGTGTGTCGCTAATGAGTCCCGAATCAGGACTAAGCATCTGTACAATGCTTCTATGATTCTAATGGTGATCTAACACTGGTTTCATTGAAATTCAACGATCTTCACAACCTTTTAATGCTTGAGAAATGTTGAGTGACTTTTATTTTAAATAAGTTTTAAATGTCATAAAAATGTGTTTTCTTCTAAAAAAACAAAAAGTCAGGCTCATCATTTCTCATTACATGTATTCCTGAAAACATTATTTATTGTGCTCTCCGGTGAAACGTAGTGAATTTTATTCTGCCGATAGTTCATGTCTGTGATAGTAAGAGTCAGTTAACTAGGTGTGACTTAATATTAGCTAGATAAACAGCTCGAACATATATCAGATGAACTTCATGTAATTGTTATTTTTAACATAGGATCATTTAGTATGAAACTAAGTCGAAGTTTCATATATTCCAGTCAAAAAATACTCAGATTTGCATTTGATAGATAAAGCCGTCTGTACAGTTCTCAAATTAGTTAGCTTAAATTACAAATTCAACTCAGTAACAATATCGTATAGATTATATTACTGTAGGAAACGGTAACAGTTAATCTTTTTAAACTTGTGCTATGCGTACAAAAGTCTCGTATCAAGGAGTTATCACAATACGACTCCAAAAGATAATTTTCACACTCAGTCAATGGGTTACTGATACTTCATTTTAATGTCCTCATGTCTTAATAATTTGTTATTATCGCTTTCATGTTTTTCATATATTCTTCATCTTTTTTATACTACTTAAATGAATAATTATCTTTCACACATATGACTTTATCATATCATTTTCCTTATACTTCTTGATTGTTACGCAACCTTACTTAGCTCCTTGAATTTGTATGCCAGTCTTGATATTTTGCTACAGTGTAAGAGAGATAATAGGCATAGGTAAGTCAGTGACATAGAAATCTAAAATTTGAATCCTGAATCCCTGTTACGCTGCGAAATATTCAGCTTAAAAAGACGATTTATTAGTTCATTAAAATAATCTCGCCATTACATTGACTAACTAACTGAATATAATACACCAAAAAGAGAGTATCGAACAGGATAACATTAATTTTGAAATGTAAGTAAATGTTACAGACATTATGAAATGTGACTGACGAGTCTCAAATAGGAAAAAACTTGTGTATTATATTCCACTGCTAGCCAACTTCTATCTGTTCTGTATAAACTTGTATTATAATGGCTTTCCCGATACAATCCGCATAATATGCCGATAAACCAACTAAGATTGATCAAATTTCTAAGGAAATTCCGGCTGACTCATATATCATTCACAGATTGTGAATAATTTCAGCTTCTGCTATGGAAAATAACTGAACAGCATTGTGAATGCTTTTTTCATATACCAACCCCTTAGAATGCCTATAGGCAAAACCAGTCACGTTTACAAAATAAAAGAAAAATATATTTTTCCAGTTAAATCATCTACTTTTTATTCCATACTTCAACACAATCATAATAAAAAACATACACGTGTAGAATGTGGGTTCATTGTTAAAATCCTATTTAGAATATAATACCATATGTGATATATGACTTAGTATTTCCTGACCACTTTAAATGTAACTATATTCAAACCATAGTACATTAAACCATGAAGCTAGTTTACAGTTCAGTGTGAACTCTTATGATTCATAGCATTGGTGTTCTTTTCTCTTCAGCTTCTAATAATATAGCACTTCTTTTTTATCTTTCTCTTTCTATCTCTCTCTATCTTTTCTACAGAATCATGTGTATGCTCCATTAGTGATTATGATTTTTGTGAATGGTATCAATGCATTCATGCATTATCTATTGATTTATATATTGAATATGGATGTCAGGTAAACTATTCACTATGTACGTAAAACGAATAATATATGTAATCATTTGCTTTATTTTCTGTAAAAAAATATGTACCGCAGAGTGATTCAGTGTTTAATTGAATGAAGAAGTGTATCTAACATATATTATCTGAATAATGACAATGAGCATGTTCAAATGACAAACGAAGAAGATATTATTTTATTCTAGAATTATGGAAATCGTTGTTTTACACTGAAATCATGAATCATTCTATTAGGTTCGTCACTAGGTACGCTTGAAACTATCATAGGTTCACCTTAGTCGATAAACACGAACAAGATAATTACTAGCGTCCAGGTAGGCTACCTTGATCGCAAAACTGCAAAGCAGATGTCTTGATATGCGTAGAAAGTATATTCTACAAACAACCAGTAAGCACAATACAATCAAGAACACAAATCTCGTTTATTTGTACATCATAGAAACATCCTTGGGACAGTCATAAAAATAGCACACTAAAATGCACAGCAGCCAATCACAGCCAAAGATTTTCGTGGTGGGGAATGAAATCTCACGGTCAACTGATCAGCCCATGCTCGCAAACGTGAAATCCAAAATAAGGTATTTATCAAGCGAGTTCTGGAGATCTAACATCCCCAAAACTTTCATTGTTAGTCCACCATTAGAAACCTGGAAGCATTGGACAGCCGTTTCTTCATGATATGGGACTTATTATAGTAGTTATGATTGGTAAATTCATTCTATTCAAAAAGATTATGAATGAAGTATTGATTCAACAAAATTTTCGACAAATTCTTATAATCATCAAAACTTTAGTTAATTTACCACATAAACCATTCAGTATTACTAACATCAAAATGAACTTGTTATTTTAAATTTTTATATAAAAAACACATTGAATATTGAACAATTTATCTAGTTGATTTTTTGTTTTCTTACAAATTATTACAAATTTTTTAGCGCTTCACCAATATCTCAAGCAACAGCATATTGTTTTGAAGTGATATGCTTTATTGGTTACATTAGATTTATGGGTCATTCAAAAGATTTCAATTTTAGTAAGTCCTTTTCTTAAATAGAAATGATCTATTGACAATTGAACTAACTACTAATTATTAGTTTTATTCAATCAAATAAATGTATGAATGTAAATAACACGTAAATATATACAAATTTTTAATCACATGGTTTCCAATGAATTGAAGTATTGAAGTATTATTTTGCTATGTTGTATATTTAATAACTTACTTTAATGTCAAAGGAAAAACTTACGTAAAATAACATGATTGATAAAAATCAAACTTATTTTATATTATTCTAAATGTTTTCATCAATTACAATTTTCTAGTCAATAGTAATATGATTATGAATATAATTTTACAGGATAGAAATAAAACAGATGATTGGAAAGTAAATATATGATATTTCTAGACTGGTGAATATTCACGTGTTGAAATTAAATTGTGCACGGATGACGTCATAATCGCTAATCAAAACAATCATGTCAAAATGAAGATTAAACAATTTTAGTGATTATTGATATTCTTTGTTAAGATATTCACTATATAACCTAAAAAGAATTATTTTGTAAGTGTAAATTCTATTGGTCGATTCCTATTGGTCAATGTTACGATCGTCCTGACTATCAATGTCACTTTAAATATTTTTTTCCTCAGCTGCCACTTGATCACTAATGAGTCGTGACAAAGCGTCTACCTGACCGAATTGTAGAGTGCGTCGATATTGGATTTCGAAATCATACCCCAAAATGTACCAAGGCCCATCGGTGAAGACGATTTTCAGAATGGGCTGGATTTAAAACCAGATTTAAAACCAAATATTGCTAGCAGAGGCTTGTGATCTGTGAGGAGCGTGAATCTCCGACCGTACAGAAACTTGTGGAAACGGCGAACAGAAAACACAAGGGCAAGAGCTTCTTTCTCTATCTGGCTGTACTTGTTTTCTGCTGGGATTAGTGTATGGGATGCATGCATAACGGCTTTTTCTGAGGCGTCTGGAAACATGATATGAAATAGCAGCATCTATATTGATGCTGAGTTTGATGTTAGATAGAAATAAAAGTGATAACTGGAAAGTAAATATATGATATTTTTGAACTGGTGAATATTTACATGTTGAAATTAAATTGTGCACAGATAAGGGATGACGTCATAATCTCTAATCAAAACAATCATGTCAAAATAAAGATTAAACAACTTTAGTGATTGTTAACATTCTGTTAATAATAATCGTTATAAATTGTGATCTTAGTTTTAGTATTAATGTAAACTATAGAAGACTAGATATTTATTTTGTTCTGAATTTGAAACTCCTCATCAAGTGACTAAATATGAATCGACTAGTGATTGATTCCAGAAATTATCGATTCTGGGTAACAATTCGATTGTTAGAGTCCACCGTTAAATACTTCTGACTTTTAAACAATCCACAATACACCACGATGACCGTCCAATAAAGACTTACCTTAAGACAAGTTCCGAAATTTATTGTGGTGTAAGTAATGAACAGTGAAGTCCAGGGATAGTCGTCAACTACACTAATTACAAACATTTCTCTGTGGAGATTAAATTCTGACGATAAAACTTGTACACTACCACGTCAACGTTTTTTTCCAATCACTTTGTTCCGTTTTAAGGTAACTACATCTAATCATCATTTGATCTTTCTTAGACTTAAAAAGGAAATCTAATATGATAGCACTAAGAAACTAGATATCCTATAAATACTGGACATTTATTCTATTTTTTGGTCGAACTCTCCTGCTGATTAGCTGTGTGTGTTGTTTATCATCGAATAACAAACAACCAAACAAACCAATTGATTAATTAATCAAAACACTCAATCAAGTTCAGGAACCAATAACCGGATCATCCTACCATACATAAAAGACATATCGGTACATACAGCACGACTACTAAGACTATTTAGAATAGGTGTAGCGCACAAACCAACAGAATCACTTCAATCAATCCTATGTAGACCAAAGGACAAGACGACAAAGGAAGAAAAACCAAATATTATCGGAAAAATAAATTGATCAGACTGCGAAGAACACCATGTAGGACTAAGTGGACGCCCTCTTCAGCTTCGTTTACATGAACACTAATTAGCAGTCAAACACCACGACAATTCCTCGTTTATATCAATACACACCGACACTTATGGACGTACATCCGATTCAAAAAATGTGGAAATACTGGATAAGGGAGAACAAAGAACACTAGGGTATTTTTAGAAGCTTGGCACTCAAGTGAATAAGCAATCAACAAACATATCGACATTGACCCAATTTATCAACCAAACAGAAAAATCATAAGCGACATAAGATCAAGAAACATATCATAAGGGTGATACAATCAAAGCAAAGGTGTAAACAACGACAGGTTTAATATGAACAGCAAGCAATCAAGGCTGAGGTTAGCATCTCAAACTACAGGTCAAACGTGGCGAAATTTGAATACTTCACTTCCGTCTGAAGTTTGTGCTGATGATGTTGTTCAGAAGAACAATGAAAACTTCACAACCTAAACATCCAACTCCGGAGAAACAAACACCACCACCACAATCATCCATCTGAGCTACAAATTTTCTCCACTATCGTACATCTAGAAATTATAATATCTATACTTTTCACTCCTTTTTTGACGCTTAGTATTCTGTTTCATTGTTTTATACTACTTTTAATTTCATCAGCCTATGTTAAACAGTGCATACTGTTTGCTTTCTCAATAAAATGCAACAAACAAAACAATGATTATACGATAAATGTAACTAATTCATTTTTGAGCTTATTGAATCATAACTATTGTAATAAGCAAACTAGACATAAAATGAATTAAATTAGGATCATAAAAAAAGAACCCAGTTAAAAAATTTAACAATAAAACTAGCTAACTATGTTCAAATCATTGTGAACAGTGAGTGTTTTAGCTAGACTAAATGAAGAAAATATGCCTACTGTGTATTTCTTCTTAGAACAAAAAAGAAAAGAAGAATAATTTGATGGTTATTTATAGTTACGCAGTAAAAGAAAAATACATTTTTATGCGTATATATATTTAAATATATCTACACATACATTTCTACCTGTATAGTGGTTGTCAGTCATTTTGTACTTTGTGAAATTCTGTTAACAAAAAAAACGAGACAGAAAGCACCATCTAAGAAAATCTTTTCTTCCCAATAGAAACAAATAAGATATTCTCGTCTTGACTATATTGGTCTATGTTTGTGCGAAAAAAAAGTTGGAAAGCAAATCAATGTTAAAGATTTTACAATTGTATGAAATAATAATTCTAAACTGAAATTGTACATATATAACTTTTGTTAAATTACGCTGATTGTTTGAACCAATTTTTTAAAAAGAAAACCTGTTAAAAATCATGGAGTATGAAACAACTGTTTTTGTCATAGTTTTTAAGACTTTCTAACAGTTTGTACAGGAAATTTTTCGTATTTAGTACCCACCTGTATGGTAATCGATTGATGTGTTGACTTTCAGTTTAGCTAATTCATGTTATGTTATTATTAGTAAGTCATTGTTGGATTCATGATGTGATTAATCTGACTTGTATTACTTACAGTAAAATTCTTGGAATGTATAAATTCAAGGAACATAACGCGTTTAAGTTTATACAAACTAGTCCCTGAAAGGTAACTGAGACTAGTACTTTTGCATTAAAGCTTTTAAACTGCGAGAACCGATAGATGTACTTATATATATATATATATATATATATATATATATATATATATATATATATGGAGCGGAAACATGGAGAACTATGAAATCCATCATCCAGAAGATACAAGTGTTTAATAACAGTTGTCTACGCAACATACTTCGGATTCGTTGGCCAGACACCATCAGCAACAACGTACTGTTGGAGAAAACAAACTAGATTCCAGTGGAGGAAGAAATCATGAAGAAGCGGTGGAAGTGGATAGGACACACACTACGGAAAGCACCCAACTGCGTCACAAGACAAGCCCTCACATGGAACCCTCAAGGCAAAAGGAAAAGAGGAAGGCCAAGGAACACATTACACCGAGAAATAGAGAAATAGATGAGAAGAATGAACAAAAACTGGAAAGAACTAGAAAGGGAAGCCCAGGACAGAGTTAGGTGAAGAAAACTAGTGGTCGGCCTATGCTCCATTGGGGGTAACAGGCGTAAGTAAGTAAATAATATTCATATCGATCTGATACTACAAACAATGGAGTACTCAATCAAGTGGAGAATCTCGTTCAACTTATTTACTGATAGGCAGTATAATTTAGTTTCATATTCTGTATTAATATAAAAAAACCAAATGTTCTGACGATTGATATATTGGATAAGGAAGGTCACTCACTGACTAACTCAAAAAAAAGAATAAGTAGATGATTCATCTCCCCAAACTACTTATTCGATTTTTTAAATTTCTTAGTAGTATCTATCGTAATATTTTTTTTTGAGAAATGTTTGTTAACTTATGGTTATATTCTTAGGGGTACCTAGCCTGTCATATGCTCTGATGGTGTTCTCGTGACTTTCGGGTTGCTTGATCTGCCAAGGGCAATGAGACAGTGCATGATGCTATTGTTGTGTGCTAGGTTCAAAGAGAGTTGTATGCAATAAGTGTTCACTCCGCCCCGTTATTTTTCTCCTTTCAATATTATTCTTAGACTTCAGCATTCATTAATTCAGTACTTGAGTATAGTCAATTGAAAATCTGTTTATTGTTGTACAAGAACAGTACATGGGGAGTTTCAGTTCACTTTTCTCATTCATCAACAATGTTCAGTGAAATAGTTTCACTCTTTCCGTTGATTATTTTTAGAAATTACAAAAGAAATTTGGGAAGAATGGAATATATGGTTTCGTTTAGCTATACCTGGTTTAATTATGGTCAGTCTTGAATGGACAATTTATGAAATTGGCGGCTTCATTGCTGGTAAGAATAATTTCATTCATTGAAAAGTTTCTAGTTGAATGCATATCTTTATCATAAAATAAACACATTGATATAGATTTATGTAGTGATGATGTCGAGAAGCTGAAATCACTCTCTGTTCAGTTAGTTATTTATAAACATTCATGCAATCGACATAAACTATTGTTTTTAAATTATCAGTTCTTTTTAATGTTACAACTAGCCAACTCATTAAAACTGATATTACATGATAACTGAAAAAGCTTTGTTGATTAATTGATTGAGAAGAATCATTTATCGGTTGTAATTTGTATTTTCGTTGTACAAGTAGTACTTTAGTTTTAAAAATGATATTTACCTGAGTTGAATGTACAAAGATATCTAGAATCTTAATTATTTCATCTAATATTCTGTATTTCGTGACTTTTTAGTTAAATATATCTGCGATTTTTTCATTTAGAGTAACTACCAAAGACAAATGGGTGAGGTTGCGCACAATCTCTAGATTGATCAGAGCTAGACATTGATACCGTTGAATGCCGACCAAGTGGTTCAGAGGTTAAGCGTTCGCTCTCAAGACCGGAGGTTCTGGGTTCTAATCCTTCGAGTTGCAGGGGTCGTGGATGCCCACTGCTGATAAGTGCCGTACCAGGACGAAACAGCAGTCTTTCAGTGTTTTCGGCTTTCTAATGGTGGTCTAACAATGATTGATTGGTGATTTTAATATTAGTGATGATTAGTAATAATACTACTGTCACTGTTGATTGCTGGCCTCCATTTTACTGATTCATCATCTTGTGTAGAAGACCATTTACACAAAGGACTCAGTAACTAGATTATACGATGGAGTAGTGTGTAGAACATTAAAAATTAAGCTTAGCAAACGAATGAATATGACTTAAGAATATGGTCAGTAATCTCTTTATTAACAACGCTTAATGCATCAGTTTAGTTATTAAGAAACATTTTAGAGCTGGGTTGTCAATCAGGATGAGTAAGGCATATTGATTAACAACTTCTATTTTTGGCTCTGCTGTGGTAGGTGAACAGATATCAACATATTTCTATGTAGATTTCATGTTAAGTTACTCTTCGATATGACGTAAAATTACGGTGTTAATGAAAGATTATTTGAAGACGAAGTGTGCGAAAATCATCATACATTAATCATTCCCGAGGAGTTTTAGATATATTATCATCAATGTCTCTCATACGTTAGCAGTTCAAGATCATAGTTATTTTAGAATCAAGTAGATGATCTTCGAAAACTGTTAATCTGTTTTATTTTTACTAACAAGTTGTGAGTTATATTTTTCAAAGAAGGTGAATTTCAGTATAGTTTACTATTGACGCCGCTAATATTAGTTACATTCAGCATATTTTAGACAAAATTCTTCGGCAAAATGTTTTATATATATAACAACCTACATTTTTCAAACTAGTCACATAGTGTTAGTGTATATCGTAGACTGGTACATTTAGCTTGCGAATTCCAGAAAAAGTTGAAATGTGCCTACTGTTTATCACTTCTAAACATATATCAAGTAAACTGTAACTTGAAATAAAATGCTGTAAGGGGACAGTCCATTCAGAATTCAAATAAAGGAGCAAAGCTAATAAATTACAGTTCTTTTTAAAAAACCGGGGAATCACAAACTCATATCAATGTTAATTATACAATGTTTCGAATTGTTAACATAATTGTCTTTTTTACTAGTGTTTCTTAGCTAAATTATACCAAAGTATTTTAGCTCACATTGTATGATTGTACTGAATATGATAAGAAGATTGAACTGATTATCCAGCGAATCAATGAATCACACCTTGTTAGACCACCATTAGAAACCTGAAGCAGTGGACGGCCGTTTCACCCAAGTATGAAGCTCTTCAACAATGCGCATCAACGACGTCCGCCCGACGGAATCGACCCTAGGACATTCTGTCTCGCGCGTGGACTTTTAACCTTTGAGCCACTGAGACGGCCTACAACGGCGGTATTATCTTACTTTAATCAATCTACTGACCAGCTGCGTGAGGAAATTTTCGGGGTCCTAGTGAGAAGCCGTGAACTGTGGAGTCCGACCGTGTCAGCTGTAGATAGTAACTACTGAAGACATTGGGTGAGGTTTCTCAGAATCCCCAGATCGACCAAAGTAAGACGCTGTCGCATGCTGGATCAGTGGTCTAGAAGTTAAGCGCTCACACGCAAGACCGAATGTCATGGGTTGAATTCCTGCCCAGTGTTAAAGAGTCCCATACTAGAAAGAAACGATCGTCCAGTGCTTCCAAGTTTCTAATGTCGGTCTAACATTAACTGATTCATAATTTTAATGTAGGAAAGAATCATTTGACTTGTTTTGAGACAGTATTAGAAACCTAACAGCTAAATATTTAGTAAAGAATAAATGGACTTTTATCAACTACTTAAAGGGTAAACCTCTAATGAACACTGTAACTTTTTTAATTATGTACAACTAATATCTGATGTAAAAATAGAGTCTCGGGTGATGTGTCATATTTTTTGTTAAGAAAAAAAAATTAACTTTTAATCAGTAGAGAACTTCTTATAGTTAATAATCTACAAGCCTTTAGTTTTATTTGTTTTAATTCATACAGTGAAAATAGATTAAAGAGGTATAATGCTTTTTTCTGTAATTTTTTTTTTGATTTTAGGAACGTTGGGAGCACGTGAACTTGCAGCACAAACTATTATTCTGTCTATTGGATCTATTAGTTACACTATGGTAAGTTCAATACAGAAATTAGCTGTGTATAAATAAACTATGGGTGACCAAAATAGTGTATTACAATACTGTAATGCATATATAAGAATATTCTTCAATCTACGTTTATTACTATTGTCATATTCATTCCTATGAGTGGTATTCATTGACAAATGTTGTTAGTTATCAGCATTGCTGGAAGTGAATTCTATTTTGTGATACAACAAGCTGGGTTTTTGTTTTCTTGTTCTTATGCAATGGATTTCTTTTTTTAAACAAAATATTAGTTTCTTTAGTTTGATTATTTGAACTGTTACTTGCATATAATTAAATAAAGTCTAGTTAGAAATTCGTTACGCATTCACGTGAACACGTCAAATCATTACGAGTTTATTTTAGTCGGAAAACGAGAGCAAGGATCGAGGATCCGACGACACTACATGCTACCCCTATCCGAGTGTCCCCCTCCCCATTTAGTGAAAGAAGAAGACTTGATACGAAGTAGAACTTGTATACTGCAAGCATCCACAAAGTACGAGGTCCGAGTCCAGAGGAGAATCAAGGTTCGGTCTAGGGAACTGGATCCAGGTCCGGGTCATAAAACGTTAGAGATAATGTGTATTCATACAGTTAGGTCGAATAGGATTCAACATTTAAGTCTGTGGCATTGACAATTAGGATGACCAACAGTAAACAACATTTGAAATGGCATTGATAGTTAGGACGACCATAATATTGACCAGTGGGAATTGACCAATAGAATTAGACTTACGAAAACAATTCTCATAGGATATTTGATGAATAACCTAACAAAATTGATGCAAAACTTATAAACAGTAAAACTTTGATTGTGGATATAGTGTATTATTAAACTAACTTTATCACAAATGTTGTCTAACTAACCAAGTTTATACTGTTGAATATAAAATATAAAAATATAAATAATGCAAGTAGATATTCAAATTCACAAATGTTAGTACCCTATCAATTTTATTTGTTTCTCTGTAGCACAATCATTTAGATACCTCGGAATCGCAACTTGATGAAAACCGTGTGTAGTAAAGTATCAGTAATAGATTTAGTAGATTTCTGCGGTAACCTTGGACTTTTTTCAAGATCTAACCGCACAAACGATTATAGCACAATTTCATTTAGTGATAACTAGGAATGGAATTCACAGGATATGTTTCTGTCTATTTGAGAATCACCATTTATTTGTAGATACATACAGTTGATAAAGAACAAACGTTCTTCCTACGAAATCGATTGCATAGTTCATTGGAATAATCTTACATTGTGAAGTTTAAAGTGATCGATCTTGAATCTAAGTCCACTTTGTCATCAGCCAAATGATAGCCATTAAGGAAATATCCTTGAAAGGATGTCTAAAAAATCAAGATAAACTACTTTTTGCATTACGTGTTGTGAAGATTGTTAATCTACACATTTAAAATTATGAGTCGATCAACGTTAGACCACTAGAAGAAACCTGGAAGCACTTGAATGCCGTTTCGTCCTGGTACGGAACTCATCAGTAGCACTGCGCATCCACGACTCCTGAACCTCACAGGATTCGAACCCAGGACCACCATTAGAAACCTGGAAGCACTGTAGTGATTGAAGGTAGGCATTAACACCGTTATATACCGGCTCAGTGGTCCATAGGTTAGGCGTCGCGCTCAAGACCGGAGGTCCTGGGTTCGAATCCTGTGAGGTTCAGGATTCGTGGATGCGCAGTGCCACTGATGAGTTCCGTACCAGGAAGAAACGGCATTCAAGTGCTTCCACGTTTCTTATAGTGGCCTAACGTTGATTGATTCATGATTCCAAATGTGAAACTACTTTCTAACAATGAGTATATGTAACTGTTGAAACTTATTTGAATTTCCTAATCAGTATTCATCTAGAATTTTCTAGGGGATATATTTCATTTTGTTCATGTATCCCTTTATTGAAATTCAAAGATTTTACACACTCTACAAGTAAATGTTCCCCATAATGTGCTTATTTATTTTTTGTGGTTAAGAGGAGGAATAAGTATAATATTGAACAGTAAATTTTGTAAGAGTAACAGCTATCTTGTATTATTACCTTAGACTTTGAGATGCATTGACATTTCTAGGTCTTGCATCAGATTGTGATAATTTTTAAACAAGAATGAACTGACCAACCGTTTCGCCGTAGTTTACAACAATTTTTCCTCTTAAATCAGTCTACAATGAATTTTTATCTTAAAATATGGGTGCTTTAAGGCATGATTAAGATTTCTCTGGATTCAGTGGTATTAAATCAATAGCCTGGTTGCATACTTTGATCAAATAAAACGTTAAAAATCCCCTATTTAAATTCATTGTATTGCTTTGTTCTCTTTTATTCGTCAGCTTCCACTCGGTATTGGTAGTGCAACAGGTATACGTGTAGGACAGTATCTTGGTGCTCAAATCGCGAGAGGCCCTTATTCTGCATTCAATGTAGCAATGACATTGGTTGGTAAGTCTAAATTAACAAGAAAATCAATCATAATGATGTTAGGAATTATATTTTATGGCCAGAAAAAAATGCACAAAAATAATATTTCTCTTTTGTTTTTGTAAATTGTAGGCTGTTGGGCTTTACCGTATTTGGGAATTTTGATTGCTACAAGAAGATCTTTACCAAGAATTTTTACATCTGATGAGTAAGTTGAACTAATAGATTAACTATTGATAGTCAGTTCAGGTTAAATTTTATTAGAATGCTTTTTTTTCAAAATCTAATTTTCTAAAACTAATCGATCGAATAATAATAGAATATTGAGTAAGAATCATATGATTTGTGCAAACTGAATAAGTATGCTATGAAAAAAATCTCCCCTTCAATTTCCGTATATCGTTCTTAGGCGAACCCCGTTTGTACGACGGCGGTCAATAAGAATCCAGATACGGTTTTGTGGATGAATCTATTTCATGCACAGGCTGACACGAAGATACAAAGCGAGATGGAGAAGGCGAGCGAGCTAACTCTTTGTGCAAAGCGACCTAAGCAGGCACACATACACTCAAATAAAAACAATCAAGGTTATGGTCGAATAATCAACAAGGTCAAAAGATGTGTGAATGATAACTTGAGAAGAATGGGTTATTTAATTTGTTTCAAGGGTAAGACAAGCTCTGTAGGCTTGACATAAAAGTACACACTACAGTGTTCTGCTTACTAGCCAAATACTAAAAATATTGTTTTTAAAAAAAAATATTTCAAGGTAGACATTTTTCTTATAGAGGAGTCGATTTTCAAAAGTCAGCACAGTTATAAGTTTGAGTCCAGGTTATATTATCATATAAAGTAAGCTTATAAATGAATAATCACTCCACCTATAGATTATAAAATTTAGGAATGAACAGTAGTAGTCAGAAACAGCAATTTTGTCAAGGGTTATGCTATGATCACTCGAACATATTTATGAAGATCATGGTTAATGAGAAGTAGTATTCTGCCGGCGCTAATAAACAGTAAATAAAAATAAGCGAATACATTTTTTTCAGTGTTTAAAAAGTTTGAATGAATAAGAATAACTTTGTTTTTACTCGTGTGAAAAATATTAAACAAATACATATAAAAACTAACTTTTAATAATACACTTTGACAAGTGTCCTTGTTACATGGGTTAGTTAGATACTCAAGGAATATTCAAAACGGTATACATCGTCAACAAAAAGTGATTGACATTCATTGTTGATTATCAACAACGAGATAATCCAAACCTTAACTGATAATAATCATATTTATAGTTTATTGAACGTTTTACAGTTTATAAAAGTTACATAAAAACCATGCATGTACTTTCTACTAGTTTATCTTAAGAGTCGTATCTGTTGTGAAATACCTCAGTCTGACCAAATTTGATTAGAACACGACACTTGTTTGAAATGTCTTGTAGCATCATACATGTCTGTCGGAAATAAATATCAGAAATACAAATTTTAAAAAAATATGAAGAAAATCGTACAGTGTGCTCATTAGTGACTAGCTTCGTGAGAAAATCCTCGGAGTTTTAGTGAGAAGACTTGCTCAGTGGAGTTTAGGCAGTACTTGCCAAAGAGATATGAGTAAGGTCGCGCAAAATCCTTAGATTGATTAGAGTTAGACATTACCACCGTCGGATGCCGTTTCAGTGGTTCAGTGGTTGGGCTTTTGCGTGCGAAACCAAAGGTCCCGTCATAGTCGTGGATGAGCACTGCTGATGAGTCCCATACCGGGATGAAACGGCAGTCCCGTGCTTCCAGGTTTCTAATGGTGGTCTAATAAAGATTTAAATGTGTAAAAACACTGATTGAAAAAAACTCATGCTAAATATATCTTCCGGAATGTATACCAATTTATCTGGTAACCGGTTGTTTTACTTAACTGTACTGAATAGGTTTTTTATAATTTGTTTTAGTAACAGTCATAATTTTTTAATAATTCAATTCCACTCTCATAAATCAGTGCTGAATGTGCACTTCCTATTAAGCAGTTTTCTCTCACTTCATTAGTGCTTCATTGAACATGTTATGAGATAGATATATGCTGGTGAAGAGACAATAATAACATACATAACGAAAAGAAATGACTCTTTCTAATAGATCATTATTATCTAAATGTTAAAAACGGAAATTTCTAATATTATATATATGTATATATATAACAACAACATTGTTTTCGATTAGATCGTCATTAGGCTTTACATACATGAATATTCATATGAAAATGTTAAAGCAATCAAGGCACTTCCAGTCAATAATCACAATGAAATGAAACAGAGATTACGTCACTACACATAATAGGCAAAAGTACACGTTGATAGTAGAAAGACAGGTGTACTGATGATAGTAGTAAGAAAAATAAAATACGATAGCTAAAGTTTTATCAATAGTAGGTCAAACGTGAATAAATAGATTTAAAATAATCATTAAAAAAAACATTAACACCATTACGTAATAAAAAGTGTGTACGTAATTAGATAGTGAAGAATATAAACGGGAAGAGGCAGAAAATTACACACAAACACATGGTGTGAAAATAATGCTAATAATAACGTTAGTTACTTCATATCCGGTCACGGAAGAGATAGGAGTTTCGCTAATTTCTTCTGAACACATAAATTGGGGTTGAATGTACGAATTCCTATGGCTTCTGCTATGTGTTTAGGAGACGGGATCGATCTCCGCTGGGAAATGATGGAGGTATACGATAGATCATCCGAAAAGATCTAGACTTATCTACAATATGACCACTATCAACTGGATGTGCTAAGATAGAACTGTGTATTGTTTTTAACTGGCCATTCATAGACCATGCTGGGGGGGTGTTCACTCATTCGTTTACTAAGTTACATATATATCTGTATGTTATATTCATAAATAAACTTATTTACAGTATACCAAGGTTCAACCACTTCAGATTAATCAACTTTATTCACTTGACTTAAAATCTACCATAAAATCAAGTGAAACTATTTACAGAATTCCCCAACTACAAATAAAACACAATAATTGCATAGTTTCGAATGGTTGAGGTTTTATATTATTAATTTCCTTCAGCGATAAACTGTTCAAATCCTCTCATTCAGTGTACTTAAAACAACTTCATACTAATAAATAAAACAATCACTGATCTTTTTGGATTAGTTACGTCATCACCAAAATACAGTGTACAGCTTTCTTCATGTTGTTGTTATTGTTTTTTGGGATCATTGATTTTTTTGAAACCAATCATAGTTTTTGTTAAATGTCAAAAATAGATCAAAATAAATTTTTCTGACTAATTTCTATTTTGATGATGATATCATTCTGGTATGGAATTTTTAAACTGTAAAAATACTTTGTTCAGTTAATTGTAAGAAAGAACTTACACTTTTCTACCATGTGAAACTTGTTTTTAACAAAGAATTAGTCGATCAATAAAATTGTATGCTGAACAATAGAATGTTAATATGTTTGTAGGGAGAAAAGATAAAGTGTAAAACAAATTCCAAAGAATCAAGAACAATAATAATGTCAATAAACTAATAAATATTAGGAGAGGATTTTGTATTCCGAAAGAAATTTTTTGACTAAATAATACATGTAAGAAGTCTAGACATTGTAATAAAATTAATTATTACTGCTTGACTGAATAATTTGAATATCCATTTATTGTATTCATAAACACATCATAAAGAAGAGAAGTATAAAAGAAACTGAATATAAAATTTACTTACAGTTAATGTGATTATTGAAATTTTACATGATGGACTGAATTGGATAAAATTTAAGCAGTGAAAAGCATTGGACGACTGTTCTATTCGCATAGGAGGGAGATTTAGGAAAAAGCATTCACTTGTCCATTATCGAGAAATAGAATTCAGGTAGCTCAGATTTCAAAACAATCTCTTAGTCTTCAGAATGCTGAGTCAGCATCCAGCAGTTTATGCATTCAACTTCAATCAACTTGACTTAGTAGATCGCCATACTGATAACTGTCATGCGTTCAACAGCTACTAATATTGAAAGGTAAATTCCAAGAGTTCTAGTAAGGAACAATTATTAGGGGGGTTCAACCAAGTAATGATCGCATAGTGCTGTGAGTTCTTTAAAGTTAGATATGGAAGCCATCGGATGCTGAATAAGCGGTTCCGAGGTTAAGCGCTCACAATAGTGCCTGAATATTCTTCATTCAATCTTCAGTAAAGGGGCTGTCAATCAGAAATCCTGAGAAGTATCATTACTAAGCAAATTAGCTGTTCAATGGTTTCTTGTCTTCAAGAGTTTTCTAACTAAGACTAGTTCATTATGCAAAACAGGAAAGTCGACAACCTTCCAAAATCTTCAACACTGATGATAGACATGTGTTCACAAGTGATAAAAAGGTCATAAAAACTCGTTCATAAAGGTATAAATTGACTATTGTATCCATAGCTCTGAAAACTATGTTTTAAATATACATATGCGCGCTACTGTACTTCTATGGAATGAAATTTTCGAACGGAGATCTAATCTAAAACAAATGGTTGATGTAGTAATCTAATCAAATAAACTTTTTTCTGTTGTCTGTCAATGTTATGGCGTTTCATTAAATACAGTGGATATATTAAGGATTGGTTGTAATGACAAATCCCTTTTGCTTCTACATAACTCAGTAGTCTCAAATTGTTCAATTGATCAATTATTGAAAATGTTGAACGTATTGAATCTACTACACCACTCATATTCCAGATTGTGCCTACTCGATAAGTATTCGGTCTATGTTCACAGTTCCTCATGTACGAGAACAGCACCTTTCACTGAAGATAATCATAATGATCTTCTTGTCCATAGTAAAAGTTATCAAAAACAACCAGTATCCTATTACCACTTAAGCTACAATTGTTCTGAAAGCTGAATCCTCCACAAATAACTGCAAATTTACGAAATAAGTTTTTCAAAGAGATAATTGTCACTTCTGTTACTTCATTTACAACTAAGAATGTTTTTCAGTCAGTTTCATTGGACAATCGCGGTCTAAAAAAGTTCTACTTCATAATTACTGCGTAAAGATAATTATAATAATGACATATGAATTTATTCCTCTTCGAAAATAAGAACAGAAAACATCGTTCATCATAGTTCAGAACAAAATGAAAAAAGCCCTCTACTATGTTTCTGAACTTCATTCAATCATTCCTATAGATAAAGATTAAATTTTTCAAACAAATCCGCCAATTTTGAATTCCTTCGCCACAAAACTTTCATTGATTGATTAATCACTTCAATATACATCATAAGATTGATTAGTTCATGTTTATAAAATCGATTTGCAAAAAAGGAATTATTACCAAATAGACAGACAGACAGATAAATACATAAATAAGGTTCACCGGTGTCTTTTGTTATTTTCCAATTTACCCTGTAACTTTTTATTCTCATTTTTTTCAGGGGCGTCATTGAATTGGTAGCAGAATTAATGCCAATTATAGCTTATTTTCAAATTATCGATGGTGCAAATGTAAGTGATTTTTTGTTTAGTCGGGAGAAATTCGATATGAACAACTGGAAACAAGATAAACTCTACCATTTTGGTCTTGCTAATTGTTTCATGGAGTGATTCAATTTTTTATAGGACATATTCAAAGGATTATTTTTATGTTTGATCTGATGGACAATAAGTTAACCTGTGAATCAGGCTTGAAGAGAGCTAGAACCAAAGATTTAAACAGAATAACATCAATTCATTTTATTTCGTCTGATTCTCGTCAGCTGCTTACAATTCAGTAATATTTAAAATTTCAATTACCAATTGCCTTTAGATGAATTATTTGAAAACGCGATTGAAATCATCAATCAGTTATTGTTGGACCACCATTAGAAACCTGGAAGCACTGGACGGCCGTTTCGTCCTGGTATGGAATTCATCCACGACTCCTGCACCTCGTAGGATTCGAACCCGGGACCTTCGGTATTATGCACGAACTCCTAACCATTAGACTACTAGACCGACACCCAGCGGTGTTAATGTCTAACTCTGACTGATCCAGGGATTTTGCGCAACCTCACCTATTTGTCTTTGGTAGTTGGCTTCGAAGTTGTTATTTACGCTTATCAGTATAATATAGAAAAAATTGTAAATAGCTTTAAGAGACCGTTTACCAATGCTTATCTGAAAATACAATTGACTATGGAACATGGAAAAAGAATAACATGTTCTACTTTCTTGATATAAATATGTTGATGCAGTGCAAACAAGACAGTTCAATGTTTTATTTGTTAGAAATGTATGTGCGATGATTTGTGCCGAAAATTCAATAGGTTTTATCTAATCATTTACAAGAAAAGTGTTAGTCAAAATACCGTTTTACAGAATAGAAAGGAAATGTACCGTTGACAAACTGGGAGAATGAACATTGAAAAATACCTAAGAGAAAACTGCTACGCAAAGAAACTTATGTAAAAATCTACTAAAACAACAAGACAGGTGTAACTACGTTTAATATAAAAATAACATTTATAAATCTCAACTTTAAAGGTGATAATATCACAAGCACAATCAGCAGGAGGCTTGACAGTACACTAGTCAAAACTGTTAATTATGCACATAACATGTTCTATAACTGAATCAAAGGTCTACAAGCCTCCCTCTCATGTTACTGTGAACTATATTTATAAATTTACGTGTACTTTCCAAAACAGCTACATTGTTGGAACAGAAAAGAGAGCATTATCTTAGGATGTTTGAACATGTGCCTAAAAAGCTTTTGAACAAAAGAAAGATCTACTTTTTAAACATTACAATCACTAAATTGGATCTTAGAAATAGGATATCACGTTGATCTTTTGCAATCTTTCAAGGTGATGATTAATAAAGGGTCAAGCTCCAGTCTTTTGAATTTAGCTGAAACTGTTGCTACTAGGTACCTGAAATCTGATTTATATGTTCAACAAAAGATAGTAGTCTGTCTTTATTTGTCTTGATGATAAATTTATCTTTAATATATCATTCGATTTTGTTAAACTTCTAACTAATTACATCGCTATGTCTTTTTATTTTGACTGTTTTGTAGATTATTACCTCTTATTTAAGAAAAGCATACATAAGCGAACAGTTTTATTTTCATTTAGGTCTTCATCAGCTTTTATTCTAATATACCATAATATTGAAATGCATATTTAAAAATCATTGAACCAATCAAGACAAATTATATTTATATGAATGATAACAGTGGAGTAATAACGCATAAACTAATAAATGTGATGATAGATGTACTGGTTACGTTCAGAATAAAAAACGGCTTAAAACAATGTTTTGAAATAGCGGACACTTCTTATTATTATCATGCGATCGATAATGCCAAAGAATGTTATTACAACATCTAGTTTTCCAAGCACTTTGACCTATTCCCTATTATGAAACAATGGAGTTCAACCCTGTCTGGTGTAGGCAGTAACTACCAAAGATAAATGGGTGAGGTCACGCAAAATCCGTAGATCAATCAGAGTTAGACATTAACACCGTTGGATGCCGGCCCAGTGGTCCGATGGTTAGGCGTTCGCGCACAATACCGAAGGTCCCGGGTTCGAATCCTACGAGGTGCAGGAGTCGTGGATGCGCACTGCCACTGATGAGTCCCATACCATGACGAAACGGCCGTCTTTCAGAGCTTCTTCCAGATTTCTAATTGTAGTCTAACAATGATTGATTGATGATTTCGAATGTGTAAAAACACAAACCTCCAAAAACTCTGCCTGAAAATATTCATTTAAGCCTTTACTATTTTTAGTATAATCAGTACACCAATCATACTTTTTATTTCACTATTGTCGCTGACTCATCAATTGCCTTGATCAGTTTTATCATTTCATATATACATATAAATGTTATCGTATATTGCAGTGAAGCCTGTAAACAATATTATTCGATTATATAGAATGTTCTTATTCATAACATCGGAGCTTTATTAATTTACTTCTTACTCAACAACTTGTTTCTATCCTTTTAGACTTATATTATTACTATTGACCCAGAATATTCTTTTGTATAATGTCTATATTTACAGTCTTTTATCCAGTCTTTTAAAGTTATTTATAATGTTTTTTATATTATTCTGTTATGCGTTCATAACAACTGCAAACGTAACTATTTCAGATAATCAATTGAAATGCAAATTTGTAATTATAACTTTAACTATTACAAGGTTGTAAGTAGCTGAAGCGAACCAAATGAAATAAGGTGAAATCATGAATCGATCAATGTGAGACTACCGTTAGAAACTTGGAAGTTATGGACGGCCGTTTCGTCCTGGTATGGGACACACTAACAGGGCGCACCTATGACGCCTGCTGTTCGCAGGATTCGAACTCTAGACTTTTGATGTTGCGCACAAACGCTCAACCTCTGGACCACTGGACCGGCAACCAACAGTGTTGATGCCTCACCATGATCAAGGTTAGGCGTTCGTGCGTAAGATCATAGGTCCCGCGTTCGGATCCTCCGAGCAGCAGGGGCTGTGGATGCGCTCTGCTAATGAGTCTCATACCAAGACGAAACGGCCATCCACTGCTTCGAGGTTTCTAACGATGGTCTAACAATGATCGATTCAAAATTTCAGTAATCAACAACAATCTCCATAACTGTAAATAAAGAAATAAAATAAATTAATGTTATTCCGCTCAAATCTTTATTCTTAATCTGTTCACTCAATTTGTAAAACTAACATTTTTGTCTTGTCATCCTATATTTTTAAATTCTTTCACTGGGGCTTTGATTTATTAAACTTTGATCATCTCATGGAATCGAATGTACCGCCGATCCAACATTATATCCATTATAACAAGTGGATTTTGCAGATAACTCATTTGGTTTGATGAAATATTTTATCACAAACTGAGATGAACAAAAGAATCTCTGAAAGGTGCAAAGAATTAAACAGCTTTTCGTTTCAGTCTGAAATTATCCAGTCGAGCTCTTTCACTACTGCCGTACAAAATCAAGCGAAATATTTTCTTGTCTTTTGTATAGAGTACAGTAAATTTCAGCCACTATGTTTTGATCTATCGATCGAAAATCCTAGTCAATTAATGATAAAGTAGAAAACTTATCAGATATGATCTCTTAGTAACTGTTTCACTTCCAACATTCATAACATTTCTCTGTAATTTCAAAAATCTTTCTCAATCTTATCTATCGATGAGTTGACTATTGTTCTTCAGATAATACTGTGTATTGTATACGATGTGTGATAAATATCGTAAGTTATTGATTAGAATTTCTTCTAAAATATACAAAAGTCTTCATAAAACATTCAATCATAATGAGTAAATCAAATCGTGAAAGTACTTCAGCGTTGGAATCATATCATTATTTTTAGACAACTAGATTTTCACTATTTAAGGTAATTGCACAACACCATCCATCATATTGATTTGTCCTTAATGCTGACAGAATTTGATCATGATTTGATGTTTTTTCTTCTTTTAAAAGGGTATATGTAGCGGTGTTCTGAAAGGATCTGGTTTACAATCCGTTGGAGCAATTGTAAACATATTTTGTTTATATATGCTTGCTGCACCACTTGGTATTAGTTTAGTTTATGTAGCTAACCTTCGATTGACAGGTAAGCAAGACAGACTTGTTTTCATAAAAGTGAAGTGAAAAGTCGAAGATAGAAACATAAATAATCATTGACATTAAAAAAATTCCGGTTTCATTTGTGAATAATACTGTTATGTTCGTCACATGGTACGCTTGAAGCTATTACGAGTTCACCTTAGTCGATAAACGCGAACGAGAAAAATACCAGCGTCCAGATAGGCTACCTTCAATCCCATGCTGTAACAGAAGACTTGGTAAGCGTAGAAAGTATATTCTACAAGCACCCAGCAAGCACAATGATCTCAAGCACACAACTCTCGTTTATTTATACATCATAGAAACGTCCTTGGGACAGTTAAGAAAATAGCACACTAAAATACACAGCAGCCAATCACAGTCAAGGATTGTCCTGGTGGGACATGAAATCCCAAGGTCAACTGATCAGCCCATGCTCGTAAACACGAACTGCAAAATAAGGCATTTATCAAGCGAGTTTTGGGGATCTCACATCCCCAACAAATACAATTAGTAGGAACTGTTTTAAGGGACTAACTAGTTCGGTTTCAGACAGGAAAAACACATGAAACTATTATGTTATTTAATAAAATTGTTTATCCTATAAAACAGGTATTTGGGTCGGTCTGGTAAGCGCTGCAACATTACAAGTGTCTACATTATGCGTCATATGTTTCCGTTTGAATTGGACAACACAAATCAAACTGGTATGTATTGACATTTGATAAAAAATTATGCATTTTTTGATCGATTAAAAGTAATTTTAATGTTCTAAACGGTTTTATTGAAAAATGAAACAATCATTGTACATCAGAATGACTGGACGGCCCTTTCGTTCTGGTATGGGACTTATCATCGATCGGTTCATGGTTTCAAAAATGTGTAACTTAACAATCTTCACAACCACGTAATGCAAATTACCTTATAGTGTGCCTATAACTGCGTGTTCTTATAGCTCGGTTTATAAATCAGAAGATGAACTCCAATTATCGCATACGTTTATTCGAGGCACACCACAAATCGAATTGGAGAAGGCTAAGGGCCAACTCTTTGGATTACAATGCGAGCGAATGAATGAAGCGAATAGGAGAAGGCTAGTGAGCCAACTCTTTGGATTACAATGCGAGCGAATGAGTGAAGCGAATAGGAGAAGGCTGTTGAGCCAACTCAAAGAGATAGAGTATGACTAAGAATATATAGTCAGATAAGAATAAGACAGACATATGACAAGCGAAATAGGTATGCACACACATGAATAAAAGCGACGAATGATTGACAGGGTCAAATGACAAGCGATTCAAATCATGTGAGTTCATGGGAATATTACGAGATTAACATTAAAGCGAAAAGGATGAGTAAGTGCGTAAGCGTAAGCAATGCTCAGTCGTACAGGCTCATACAAAGCAGATAATAAAAAATACCAATTGTACATATGAGTTGTTGCTATGCAGATAGCTTGGTTACATAAATTAATCGAAAGGGCTTAAGCAAATTCAATGTAAGCGGATGAAAATAAATGTGGAGGCACTACAACCTGTTCTCACTAGTGACTAGCTTCGTGAGAAATCTTCTCCAAGTTCTACTGGGAAGACGTGACCAGTGAAGTTCAACCTGTTCTGGTGTAGGCAGTAACTACCGAACACTGTGTATGAGGTTGCGCAACTCCATGAATTGATTGAAGTCAGACATTAACACCGTTAGATACCGGCTTAGTGGTCAAGAGGTTAGGCGTTCGCGCACAAAACCGAGGGTCCTTGGTTCGAATCCTGCAAGGAGCAGGAGTCGTGGATTCGCGCTGGTGATTAATCCCATACCAGGAAGAAATGGTCCTCCAGTGCTCCCAGGTTTCTAATAGTGATCTAACATTGATCGATTCATGGTTTCAAAAATGTGTAACATCGGAATGAATCAATCAAATGCACAAATTGAAAGAGAAATATGAAATATGTTTATAATTTTGTCATGATGTCAGAAAACTTATGTAATTGACATTTATGAAAAAAACATTGGTTTATGACACCGAAATGTGATATATGAAATCAGAGATGGTTGGATCATAAAAATAAGAGGAGTTTCAAGTGTATATTATTCCTATTGTGCCTGAAAATATATTCTTAACCAATACAGAAAGATGAATAATTACTTACCTTTGTATACACTGGTAAGTGGAAGAAATATTCTTCATTTGACTTTTGTAAGTATTTATTAGATTTTACTTGAAAAAGTTATTCCTTACACTATGTAGAGAGTATCAGTAGACGTTATACATTTTCACTGCCATTGTTGATATTCAAAATCAAAGTTTGCTCAACTTTTGTTGGTACATGGAATTCATAAAATCATGCTTCAATGAGGTTTTAGCATAATTTATAGCCAGCAGATGCTAATAACAAAGTGTTATGAGGTATATTTTCTAGTCTGTTTTAAGTACACTAAAAATATACCACCAAACCGAAATATACATCTATGTATATTATACTTGTATGAAAATTAAATTAACTCTGCTTTTTGGGTATGATGAATTGGGATTTGAATTGAAAATTGTAACTCAGAGCTAATGTGGTATGACAACTTGAATTGATGTATGCACGTACGTACGAAGATCTACATCGTAACTGACTAACTTACGTAATTACGTGTTACGTATCACGTCATTTATACTACTGACAGATTTGCAATCTCAATATACACTCGTAACATATGTGAATATGAAATCATTAAAATAAATTCCATGAAAAAATATTGATTTTTCACTAGTTCTATTAATTTTAATATTTATCTGTGAATTTGTTAGGCTTTAGAAAGAATAAAAGTCGACAGGGATTCATCTGAAATAGTTATGAAAAATCTAAATGAACATGCTGTGATTGAGATTGTGAACAATGATGATGGTAGGTCAAATGTTAAACACATGAAATGATTACATATTCAAGATGAATCTGATCATTTTGTTTAATTCAAATGCTTATATTCAACATTTGAAGAATGAACTTGAATGTATGTAACAAATCATCACCGTATTTTAAATGGTTTTCTAGTCATTTTAAAAGATTTTGTTATGAAATATTTTTTTACGGATTGTACTATAAAGTTGAAGCACGACTTGTACTATTTATAAGAGTAAACAGGAATAATGGGAACTATCTAAGGTTCCGGAAGTCTTTTAGGCAACGTTTGAATTAAGCTATAAAACACCGGAAACTATCTGAATGTTATAAATTTCCGGGTAATTACCATTCAAGTTTATTAGTGTTTTGTATAAGTGTCGTATTAGTAAAAGTCGGTGAAAGGAGAACAACATGTCAATTATGCAGACAAGTTAAAATACATACAGAAGAACTAGCTTATTTAATATTCTGTTATTAGCATGGAATTGTGAAAATTATTGAATTTCACGACTAATCAAATAACTTGAAAGCTCTTCATCAAATCAGTAATAACTTAATGATATTGTCCAGAACGACAATGTAATAGATTCACAATTAAACCAAGAATTCAATAGTTCAATAATTTAAACAATTTAACATTGAACTTAGTCAATTTAGTCAATTCAATAATAACAAATGAATGAGTTAATTTTCATTATCGTTTTTTTTTTCTTTTGTAATTTCAACAGACAATAATATTTCACAAAACAATTGTCAATTACACAATTCAAATAAAACAAATCATAAATCATTGAACAATTCAACAACACTTCAACAAAAACAATTATTTAATAAAAATATGTTAAGAAATAGAATTTTACTTATTGTAATTTTATTTTTAATTTTAATCATAAGTATTTTATGTCGATTATGCATAAATCTACCAAATTATTTTGGTATTTATTGTGTTTATAATAATGATACATTTACACGAATTACAAATTATACAAATATTAACAATTGTACAGTGGTTATTCCGTGATAATATTGGGAAAATTTGTTTGTTTGTTTTTGTTCATTAAAACAAACATTATTATTCGGCTTTTCGATTTTTATTGGTTTTTTTCTTGTGAATTTATTCAAAAATTATTTAATTTAAAACTAAAGTGATTACCATTTAAAGTAGATGTAAAACAATATTTATCAATAATGAAATATTTTGTAGAAGAAAAATAAACATAAAAAAACCATACATAAATTGTTGATAAATTAATTTCTTTGAGTTAGGTTATAATGTATTTTTAACTCAGCCTAGCTAGCTCCCTTCTTGGGTTATTACCGGTTTCAAACCTGGATAAAGGAGAAGAGTGTTACGTATGAACGTAAACATGTCATTTTGATATTCATGGTCATTTTGATATGCTTGAATCATGACGAGTTTACCTTGGTCGAAAAATGAGAGCGAGGATCGAGGATCCGGCAACACGACATGCTACTCTAATTCGAGCGTCCCGACCCCCATTGAATAGAAAGAAGATGACTTGATATGAAGTAGAACCTGTATTCTACAAACATCCAAAAAGTACGAGGTCCTAATCCAGAAGCGAACCAGGATCCCGGACTAGGGATCTCGGTTCGGGTCATAGAACGTTCCAGATAGTGCGTATTTATACATTTGGGTTGAATGGTAAACAACATCGAAGTCCGTGACATTGACAGTTAAGACAATAAATAAGAAACAACATTTGAAGCGGCATTGAAATTGAGGATGACCAATAAGAAACAACATTGGAGTACGTGACATTGATTTCTAGGAATTGAGCAATAATTCTCTTAGGATATTGGATGAATATCCTAACAGAGGGTTTGACATAGGGTTAGCGACTCGATTCCGTAGAAAATGAACTTGTTAAAAAAAAAAACTAGAGCAAATAGTTCAAACCATTTAAACTGTACCCTGGGAGTAATGAGGGAGCTTCAGGATAGATGTTGTAACACTCCAACCATGAAGAAGAAAATGCCTCACACACACAAGCAGTTGTACAGATGTTATCAAAAGAAGCACAAATAGCACTTATGGGATGAGAATATCATTTGCCTAGGATCATCAAAGCCTCCTTCAAAACAAAGAAGGAGGAGATCCAAATGAATTTCGCTAAGTGCTATGCGCCTACCGACGATAACACTGAAGACGATAAAGATTAGAGCTAAAAGAGGCTGTAGTTGATTGTTAAGAAATGCGCAGTAATGGACCATTCTGACCATTCTGATGAGATACCTGAGCGCCAAGGTTGGAATGGACAATACCGGATATGATCACATCATGGAACGACATGAACTGGGAGAAAAAAAGGAAAACGGTGAACGATTCACAAACCTATGTGCCTTTAGTAAGGTGGTCATAGGCGGCACCATGTTCCCACATAAATGCATACAAAAAGCGACGTGAATTTCACTGGATTACACTACAAAGGACCACATAGATCACATATGAATCAATGAAACGTACAAAACAGGATGACATAGACCAATATCAGCCCATCAAGGGCAGGAAGAGCCATGGCATCAGTTGAATACATAGAAGTAAACGAGAAAGTGTAGAGGAGAATCAGAAATGACAAGCAAAAATATGTGGAAGATACAGCAATAATAGCATAAAAAGCCACAAGGGAAGAAAACATAACACAATCATACAACAACGAAGTAGCTTGCTGGAAAATACAGTAAATCAGAACAACTGGTGAAAAACAAGGAAGAATAAAGAAACAGGTGAGTGGAGCACTTCATGGAACTTTTGAATAGATCAGCTCACTGAATCTCCCTAAAGCCGAATCAGCACCTACGAAACTCCCTATTGATGTCGACTCACCAACAACCGGCCAAATCAGCATGGCCATCATACACATTAGGAGTGCGAAAGGTGCTGGATCAGACAACATACCAGCTGAGGCACCGAAAGCAGAGATAACAGTGACTGCAAAGATGTAACACTCTTTGTTTAGCAGGATTTCGGAGGAAGAACGAGTACCAAGAAACTTTAAAGAAGGATACCTCATCAAGTTACCAAAGAATGTCGATATCAGCAAGTGTGAGAACTGTGGAGAAATCACATTACTATCATTATCAAGAAAAGTTTTCAAGTGTGTTGGTAACCGAAATGAAGGATTCATTGGATACCCAACTTCGAGATCAGCAAGCTGGATTCTGTAAGGATCGACCGTGCACCGGCCAAATCGTGACACTACGAATCATAGTTGAACAATCATTTGAATGGAACTCACCACCATGCATCAGCCTACTTGCCTACAAGAAAGCATTCGACAGCATGGACAGGATGACACCATGGTGTACCTGAGACGAAAATCAACATCACACGGAATTCTTATGTTGTACTAAAATGCAAGATCATTCATGAAGGATAGCTCACAGACCCGTTTCAAGTGTAGGCCGGTGTGAGACAATTTTCTGACTCCCACCCGTTCTCTTTTTGTTGGTTGTCGACTGGATTGTGAAGACATCAACTTCGAAGGGGAAACACGGGATGCAGTGGATAGCCCGCAGGTGATCTAGCCCTTCTCCCCTACACACAACAACATATCCGGAAAGCAAGGGCTGCATTTCTACAATTGAAGGACATCTGGAACTCAAAACAACTATCAGCAAACTCCAAAGTCGCAGTTTAATACAAACATAGAGACAGTTCCATTGTATAGAGTGGAAATTTCGAGAACGACGGAAGCCATCATCCACAAGATACATGTGTTCATTAACAGTTGTCTACATTATATACTACGAATGAATTGTCTAGACGCCATCAGTAACAACCTCCTGCGGGGGAGAACAAATCAGATTGCAGCTGAGGAAGAAATTATCTCTACCTTTCTCCTTCTATATTTATCTTACTGAATTATACTTCTCTAATCATATCTTAGCTCCCTAATCTTCTCCATCACTGCTAATACTTATATTGCTGCTATCACTCTTGGATTTGAACTGACAGTTGCGTCTCTGTGCTGATGGGGCATGGCAACCTGAACTGATGTACGTATGTGCGAAGTTCTGCTTTGTATATGTCTGTCTGCTTGGGGTAGATAGGACATATTTTGCGGAAATCATCTAACTGGTTCATGAGGCAAGCTCTCAGCTGTAATCGCAAAGGCAAAAAGTACAGATGAAGACTAACGAACACATTACACCGAAAAATGGAAGCAGATATGGAAAAAATAAAATAGCGTTTGGGTAAAACTGGAAAGGAAAGCCAAGAACAAAGTAGGTTGGAGAATGCTAATCGCGTTATGCTCGTCACCTGACATACTTGAAACTATTACGAGTTCACCTTACTCGGTAAATGAGAGCGAAGATAAATGATCCAGTGACACGATAGGCTATTCTAATCCGAGCATCTCAAGGTCCCACTAAGTAGAATAAGAAGTACTAACGATATGTGGCAAGTGTATTCTACAATCAGCCACAAAATGTGAGGTTCACAAGCACACAAACCGAGTTTATTTTACATGACAGAAACATCCTTGTGAGATCCACAAAAACAGCGTACTAAAGGAATACATCAACTAATAACCGCCAAGGATTTTCCTGGTAGGAAATATAATCTCAAGATCAACAGATTAGCTCATGCTCGAAAACATAAAATCCAAAATTAGGACCTCTCTCAAGTAAATTCTAGGGATCTAACGTCCCCAACAAGTTGGCAACCTATGTTCTATTAGAGGTAAAACAGGCATAAGTAAGTAAGTAAATCATACGATGATGTAAGGATAAATTATTTATTACTAAAACGTCTAGCAAATTACACTTAAAAAGTTTATATATATATCTAGAGAGAATTTTTTTTACAGTGAGATACATTAAATGTTTGTTTAAATTTGCAAAAGAATAAAATTGTGTTTAGAAAAACTGGGAAAAATTTTATTATGCCCATAAATTTTTTCTCTTCAAATTATAAAATTTGTGACTGAAAAAAAAGAAAAGAAAAATAACGTAACCAAGTGTTTTTTTTATCGTAATAACAAAATTGTATTCACAAAAAAAAATTTTCTTTTTTCCCCAAAAAATATCATCAACAACTGGTTATCTACTATAAAACAGTTAAATGACATTAGAAAAATTTTTATCAACGCTTGATTTTGATATGTAAAGATGTTTTTGAGGTAAAAAGATATATAACATTTGGTCTACATTTCAGATGATCAACACTTTTTCAGCAGCTAAAAATTTATATGAAACTATAGCTGATTTATTTGTTCGTTGAAATGATACAATACTGAACAAGGTTGAAGTATTTGAATATATATATATATATATCATTGAGAAATAAACTACTATTTAAAATGTATGCTGAATCAGTCAAATTCTATTTAAAATCATGAGGAATCGTGAGGAATCTTCTCCGAGTTCTAGTGAGAAGTAGTGACCATTGAAGATCAACCCTATTCGGGTGTGAAGCAGTACTCACCGAAGACAGTGTGCGAGGTTGCGCAAGACCGTGAATTGATTGAAGTTAGACATTAATACCGTCAGATACCGGCTCAGTGGTCCAGAGGTTAGGCGTTCGCACACAACGCCAAACGTCGTGGGTCCGAATCCTGTGAGTAGCAGAAGCTGTGGATTCACACTGTTGATGAGTCCCATACCAGGACGAAACGGCCATCAAGTACTTCCAGGTTTCTAACGGTGATCTAACATTGATCGATTCATGATTTCAAAAAGTAACTCAACAATCTCCACAACCCCATAGTGCAGATTCTCTTAGTTAGAATAGTGTTATAACGATTTCATATATATAATTTTTATCCCGAACTGCTTGTAACACAGAATGTTTAAATCAGAATGTTCAATGGGTCGTAAACTTCTAAGTAAACTCAATTAGCGGATGATATGTTTTGAAATAGTCTACTCAGTAATATATGATCACTTACTCACTTAAGCTTGCTATTTTTCAGGAATCTCAAAACCAGAAACCTACGAATATCTTCTACTCTCACAGGCCATGTTTCACAGCCATAAAGTAGGATGGAGCGAACTGCTACACAGTACACTCGTCCTTTGGTTAGCAAACGGATATCTCGTCTATGCCATGAGTGACGCAAGTTGGCTAATGCCAGTCGGGCCTTCTGTATCCGTGCTGAGATTTCGTCAGTCACAAGGCCATCGGCATTGACGAGACTCCCCAGATAAGTGAAGCGATAAAGTCAATGTATTTCTAAACTTCCTGTCAAGATAAGGGTTTT